TAGATAGTTAGGATAGATAGAGATCCTAAAAATTTAAATAAGTACTGCTTTATACCCGTATAGGGACCGAAATGGAATACCGCCGGACTATAGGAGAATGGTCGAGCATAGCAGCGAGTTTAAAGAAACGTTTTTAGGTTTTTGAGAGATATTGGGATAATGGGTTGTATATAGTGGGATATTTACTTCATAGGTTAAAGTTTAGGTTATGTTTATGTTAGTATAGGAGTATGCTGGGCAGCAGTGCAGCATATCATCTCAAGGCTCCACCGCTGCTCCGCCAAGCAGGGGCAAGGCGGAATATCGAGTACCTCCGACCCGGATTCTAGACAGAGGATATGCATGTGTGATTGGGTTTGTATATAGGAGTATGTATGTTTTTATTGTATGAGTGAGTGTGAGAATGACTAGTTTTAGGGAGCGTAATGGCGCCGATCAGAGCCCAACCTCGGAGTCGCTCAGGAACCAAGGTGGGTGACACCCCCTGATCCATCAGGGAGAGCCAGAGGCCTCCCAGGAGGTCTTATAATTCTAATAAGTACTGCTTTTATTATATTCCAGATTTGACAATGCTGAGAGAAAATTTTGAGAAAAAAGTAATTATATACAATTCACTAGTTTTCGTGGTCCGCTTGACCAATTAATACCTTTCAATTAATTAAGGTTTTTAGTTGAGATAAAAAAGTCAGTGTCACGAGCGGATTCGAACCCACGACCTTCGGCTAGATACCCCGCTGCTCTAACCACTTGAGCTATCGTGACTTCAATCAACTCGGACACTAACTTCCCATCTCAACCCACCTTTTGAATTTTTCCCTCCTTTTTGCCATTTTTCAAATTATATCTAGTAATAATTGCAAATCGTAAACAAGTAAGCATCGCTTGTACTTTAACAAATTGAAACGTGATTTTTTGTATTCAATTTAAGCTATTTTTCTCTATATTTATAATGATAAATACGAACGCCTATCAGTCAAGGATACTCTAAGTTTTTAAATAGATACAAAAATTCAGTGTTAGTGTTTTTGTTATCGTCAGATTTGACCACATTACTGATTTTTTTAAGAAACAGAAATCACTGATACTTAAAAAAAGAGGTGTCTCAAATTATCCTGATAAACACAAAAAAAACTTTATGTAAACCAAATATGTTTATTATTTTAAATACAAACATACGAAAACTTAGTGTTTTAACTTGCAGCCAGAAGAAAAATTTAGTTAATCTTACTTTTTACAATTGTCATGGAAAAGTTAAAAAATTTATTCACTTGCTGTTTTTGGATAGAAACCTTTGAAAAGATTTTGAGCTTGAAAGCTGTTATTGATATACAAATATAAACAATGAAATCGTTTCAGATGAGTATGCGTGTTATTTTGATGAATATGAACACTAACGAGTAATAACTGGATATCCATAGTTTCTAGTATTAATTGGCCCAATTTAATAATTGCACATACCCTGACGTTGTTCCTTCTTGGTTAATCATTAGAAGAGTTAGACATGAAAAGCGAGTGAGAGAGAGAACGTGAGGGGGTGAGAGAATTTGAGAAGGAGGAAGAAAGAGAATTGAATTAAACATTTTATTTATAAAAGTTCGCAAAATTAGGTTCACTGGACCTCCCTTACATTTAACGACCAATTCGTACGTACAAATAAAGTTTACATAATTCAAAATATGTAACCACCTTTCTGCCTGACTGACATTCCCAGTGCATGCACTAATTTTTCTCAAAACCTAGTGGACCGATTTTCATGGTTGATAATTCGTTTTAAAGAAATTATCAAACATTAAAACTGGTCTATTATTTTCATTGAAAAAGCAAGGTCGACCCATTGTGAGTTGTTTTTGGTTGAAAGGATGATCGTCGTGTCAGAGTGCATTGTTTTTCAGGAGGATTATTTACGCAGTCTAAGCTGGGAACTACCCGATGCAACGCTGTGCGACGCTACCCGAAGCAAATCCAAAGTCTAATTTTCCAAATGATTGCATATTACCCCCGTGCCCATCTACCCAATGCTATGCTACCCTACTCTACGCTCTGCGATCCCCACTGCCCAGATATTCGTCGGGCAGCATGGAGTACAGTCGAAGACAAAAGAACTCATATTTTTATTCAAACTACATGTATTATAGTCGTTATATTGGGTTGTCCGGAAAATAATGCAGGATTTTGGTATTAAACAAAAAAAAAAGAAACTAGTTACTTTAAAGCAATGTTCTTTAATCAAAATAATTTCCCATACTCTCAATACATTTCTCCCAACGTGTTGGTAACTTATTNTGACATTCATACAAATGAGTAATCCTGTAAACGTAAACAGAATATTTTATATAGATTTTTTTTAATGAAAACTTAAAATCCTGCATTATTTTCCGGACAACCCGATATTAATTACAACATACTTATTTTAATATAAACCAAATTAACCGAGATCAAAAATTTATTAGTTCTTAATTTTTTTTAATTAATTTTAACGGTTTGGTAGAAAATTGATCAAAACACCGGAATACCATTTTTTTAGGTAATGAATTTAACTAACAATTTATTGCACGGTTTTGCTCATAAAATTACACCATTTTCGTCGAGTAGCTTCAGAACAGGACACTCATATTTTTTGTAGTTTACTTCAAACTAAGTATATGTAATTTTGTCGTTATATTAATTACAACAGTCCTATTTTAATGTAAACCAAATTAAACGAGTCATAAGTTTTTATGCAAATTATTTAATTATGAAGGTTAGAAAGAAAATTTATCAAAACACCGGAATAACATTATTTAAAACAATTAAGTTTAACGAACAATTTATTACATGGTTGTGCTCATAAAATTTAACTAACAATTTATTACATGGTTGTGCTCATAAAATTTAACTAACAATTTATTACATGGTTGTGCTCATAAAATTTAACTAACAACTTATTACATGGTTTTGCTCAAAATAATGCATTAAGAATAAAAGAGGCGTTGCGATTGTGATACTGATTTGTGATACACGCAACGTGGCTGAACGTGGCGTGCGCTTGACGTCGGATAGATGTGCACACCCTACCAAAACGTGAGAAGGCGTCGGGTAGCATCGGGTAGCGTCGCATAGCGTTGCATCGGGTGTGTTCCCTGCTTAAAGCGAGTATCACCTAAATACCTATTTCTTTTAAGTCTTCCTTCCTTTCTTGGGTTGAAAATTGTGTTCTTTCTCTTTTATTTTATTTTATTTTATAATTGTTTTACAAGGGTTCGCAACAGCAGAGGTTATATCAACCCTCGGGTCTTCGAATTTTTGAAGAAACAAAACCCAGTTTTAAGTATGTCTGGTTCGAATGCACGGCCGCTGGTTTCGAACCCGTGACCTTTACTTACGGTGATGAACGCCATGACAACGCCTACCGTTGGGGGCCACCCACGCCCCCTTAAATTTAAGATTTCAACGAGGGTTATTTTTTTAACAATTGATTTTTAAAATTACTTTGTGTAGCTGGATAGGGTTGTTTTGACAAGGTTCATCCTTATTAAATTGAAATTTTCGAGCGAAATTACCCGGACTAGGTATTAGAGGGTTTTTATTATATAGATATGCTTTAAAATTTCTATAGGGGATGTTTCCGTAATTCGTTCCTTGCCAGTCCGTCTTGACTTCTACTTCGAGCTAAGTAAATGAGCCAGACTGACAACAGTATTTGGTTGAATTGGCCAATTCGTCTTCAAAACCAATGTCAAAAGCTGTCATCTACCCAAAAGACACAGCATGCCTAGGTTCTTTTTTTTTTAAAAAAAAAAGATAGTTCTTACTCACAGTAAGTTGTTTTCCAACGTTCCGGATTTCGAGCCCTTAGCTCATCATCAGGTTGAAGGATTTTCTTCCTTAAATCACTGCAAGACAACTTACTGTGAGTAGGAACTACCTTTTCTAAAAAAAAGACTGAACACCGCACTCACTCCATCATTCATCATTTCTAGCATGCCTAAGTTGTTCTGTTGATCAAAAAATTTTTTTTTAAAACCGACGACAATAAGCGGTTTCACAACCTTAAACTCATGAATAAGATTTTAACTTATGTGTGGTGTTTAGTGACCGTTAGTTAATGATTATTTGGAAATCGTGAGATGCGGTCTGGTGTGACGTAGGTTTACACACAAAAATGACACATCTGCACAGAAAACAAACACTTTGAGTGAGTACAAATACTTTGATTGAGTCTAAAATTTCTAACATTGTATAAATTCATTTTTTCCCATCCTACATGTACTTGTATAATTTAAACAACGTTTATAAATCCCAGGCCCTGAAGATGATCTCATCGAAAGATCGAAACGTTGGCACAATAAAGAAAATGTTTTTCTAAAACCTACGTCACACCAGACCGCATCTCACGATCTCCGAATAATCCAACTTTTCACTTATTTTGTTCGCGATCTTTACTGGAAACTAAAGTTAATTTATTAGTTCTATTTATTTCATGTTTTCTTTTATTTTCTATTTATTTATTATTACAAAAAAAGCTTGATTTAGCATCAGGAATGTTGGGGACCGGAAAGGGTCAAAAGCAGATACTTTTAAAGCTTACAGATTTATTTCTTACATTGTTGAACTTTCTTTCCTTAAAACTAAATTAATAAAAGAATATCGAAACAGAACCAAAAACACTTTCAATGAAGATGTGAAGTTTTTGAAGATGCTGATTATGTAATAAATAAAAAAGAAGAGAATGAACGGACAAACTTTAACTTATGAACTCATGAGTGAAATGATATAAATTTCACCTTGTGTTGTACGTAATAATTACGAATTATTTTCTTCAATGAACTATCGTAGAGACATATGATTCTATTATTTCTATTATTTAAGAAGGTTTTTTTTCAAAAATCCAAAATAAATTGTTAGAATAAATGTAAATATTTTTTCTGAATAAATTTTATTTCGCTTCGTCTAACCGATATGTTGTTTTTATTTATTTTAAAGCAGCACTTATTTTTGTTGCTTACTGGGCGACGAATTCGACTTTAGAAATGACATGACATTTTGTTAGTTTACCTTTTATTCCTGTTACATTCAATTTAATGTATATAAACAAGCGACACAGATCAGTTTTGGCCCACAGCACATCAAAATTCAAGTCGCAACTTTCCTCCTCCCTTTGAATAGACAAATTACACATTCAAGAAAACAACTTTCAACATATTTATAGACACGAGAGTGAGTATTTCGATGTTATTTTCTGGGCTTTGACTTTTTCCGTCTCATAATAAAATCTTAAGTCAAACCGTTCCGTTAACGCGAAAAAAGTAAATGTCCAATGAAATTTTTAACCCATAAATTTACGAACGATTTCCCGCAAGATTGGTCACTATTCGTTTTCGTTTCAGAAACGGGCAACAAAAAATTATGAGTGCTAATAAATCGGCATAGTAAAAACTTGGCATTTCTGTTCTTTTTCATCATAACAATTTATTCGTAATATCTTCATGTTGTTTGAAGAGCCAGTTTTAAATTTCAAAACAAATTTCCCAGCTGCATATACTCAGTTGAAATGGCCAATGAATGATTTAATATTTTTATTTGCCTAGATATTAAACACAATTCAGCAATTCAAAATTGTAAAATGATTGATTTGACACGGTGGTTCTTGTCTTGTCTGCACCAACTCTTCAGTTCTCCATCGACCCTCTCGTTGGGTTCTTGTTGGAGAGATACCACGAACTGGAGAGAATTGGTGGTTGTTGTCTGGGTGAACGCATAGGTCTGGAGGAGTAATAAAAAGGTAGACAAGGTTGCTAAGGCCAAGACATCCCAGTCAGACAGACAGACACACAGTCCAGCCATCTAACATTCAAAATGCATTTAAAAAAAAAATTAATAAAAGAAATTGGTAGCGTCAGTGGGCCGGCTTTGGCATATGAGAGCATTGACGACAGGTGGGACCCTTGGATAGTGATAGGCTCAACTATTTACACATACGTATTTGTGCATGTGCATGTGCAGGTTTGAGCTTTTATAAATCAGTAATCAAAACTACAAACCAACTTTAACCTCAAAAATGATTTGGAAGATCTTCAAACTATTTAATGGAAATCATATAAAACCCAATTAAAAAACATAAAATGTTGTAAATATCTATATTCAAACTGATTGTTAATTGGGCTGCTATCAGGTACTTTCAGTATTTTACTGTACCGTTCAAACATGTGGCAAAATCACCCAATAAAGATTGTTTAGCATATCTACCACTTCATGCCAATTTAGCCCCTTTCCCTCTGAACTCCCTGAACTGAACCATATTCAAAAAAGTATGAGATATCTGGCATGTCCAGGTTTCATAAAACAGAAGTAAATACAGTCCCTAATGTTCGTTAATTAAGTCCATACAGTTCCTCTTCCTCAACATATTTGAGATTTATGTGCTAAGTTGACTATTGTGAATGGCTAGGATTTGAACAGAGAACCATTAGTGTGGCAGATTCAAGTTGGATGCCCTAACGATTCAGCAGTCTTATTACGATGTACCTGCTCATTATAATGTAAAATTAATTAAGGTTTTTAGTTGAGATAAAAAAGTGAATGGTACGAGCGGGATTCGAACCCACGATCTTCGGCTTGATACGCCGCTGCTCTACCACTTGAGCTATCGTGACTTCGATCCCCTCGGGCACTAACTTCCCATCTCTACCCCACCTTTTGAATCTTCCCTCGTGTTGTGTAATCGGGTTGGATTCTCGACGACAAATTAAATGGCCAATGGAACCCAACCCGATTACACAACATTTGAAAATGGCAAAAAGGAGGGAAAATTCAAAAGGTGCGGTTGAAATGGGAAGTTGGTGTCCAAGTGGATTGAGGTCACGATAGCTCAAGTGGTAGAGCAGCGGCGAATCAAGCCGAAGAGCATGGGTTCGAATCCCACTCGTGCCATTGACTTTTTTATCTCAACTAAAAACCTTAATTAATTGTAATATATTAATTGGTCAAGCGGACCACGAAATTAGTGAATATAATGGCCAATCTACCAATCTATGTTTGTAGAAGAAAAATGAGACTGCAGTTGTTATTATTTATTATTTTGTAATATTTTGTAAAACCATTTATTTGATACTGTATTTAGGAATTTTGTTATAATAGTTAAAAGTATTACAGTGATGCTGTCTTCACCATGATTTTTTTTTAGACAACAAAAGCAAATTTAAATCTATGGACCAAGAGTACATACATGAGGCGATCTCCATGAGCATTGGTGACAATGAAGATGAAAAAGGATCTGAAACAAAACGGTGATTTATTTTTATATATTTAAAACTTTTAAATAACAGATAATTATTTTCAGGACGAACTGGCTTGCTCGGCAGCTAAGCAAACAATTCAATTTACCAGACCACCCTGTCGTTCAGTTTATAACGTACGTTTTAATCGGGTTTCTCATTTGGACCCTGCTTTTCCTCTTGTTGCACGATGAAGTCCTCCTGAACGGTGGCCTTTTCAATCTTTTGTCTCTGTTCGTGCTGGCCTTTGCAGTCGGGTTCGCAGTCTCTTTTGCTAAACTACCACCGCTGCTAGGAATGCTTATAACTGGTATTGTGCTTAGAGCAATAGGCTTCTTTCATGTCTCTGGAATATACGTACAAGTTGTTATAGTGCTGAGGTAAGTGAACACATTTTTGTTTTTCCTGCATTCTTTAGAGCTTAAAAGCAAAATAATTTGTTTCAATAGGAATATAGCTTTGACAGTTATTCTAATTAAAGCAGGCCTTGGCTTGGACGCTCCAGCTTTGATGAAATTAAAATTCACAGTGCTCAAACTTGGAATATTCCCATGTGCAGGAGAAGCTGTTGCTACAGGAATATTAAGTTATTATTTTTTAGGATTTCCTTGGCTATGGGCATTTTTACTAGGGTATTTTTTTTAATGTTAAATTTTGTATGTGTTGGAAATTTAATTTGCAAATTTTTTCATAGGTTTCTTTTAAGCCCAATTTCACCGGCTGTAGTTGTCCCGACCTTGTTAAATCTTAAAGAAAGGGGCTATGGGAACGATAAAGGCATCTCTACACTCGTCATTGCTGCTTCAAGCCTCGATGATATATTTTCAATATCAATTTTCGGCTTGTTGCTCTCGTCAATATTTTCTATAGGTGAGCCGATATTGTGATTTGCAGTCAAATAAATTCTTTGATATTCATACGTACGTGTTGATTTGAAAGGTAGCTTGACTATGGCTTTGATAAGAGGACCCTTGGAGCTGCTTACTGGACTCGTTTTCGGTGTGGTATGGGGCTTTGTCTGTTCCGGATTTCCACACAGGGATGATGTAAGTTTGATGGAAAATAATCTAAATATATTGGTACTTTTCAAATCTGATCTTGAATTGGGTTGACATCACTAATGAGCAAAACAGACCAGTAACAAGACATACAAGGGCTTAATGTCCAATAAACCGTTGGTTGTTACAGGCAGGGGTTAAGCAACTTCACAATACTTTTTTCGTACTATTGTCAATTAAAAACCAAGGGCTATGCTGGGATTCGAATCCGAACCCACTAGCAGCACTAGCAACCAAGTCGGACACTCTAAACCTCTCAGGCAACGGAGTCCCCAAAACCAGACAATATTGACAATATATTAGCAGTTATGAATGAAAAGATAATTTGGCTCAGAGATCTCCCTGACCTCCAGAATCTCTCTAATGCACATTCAGATAGGATTTTCCAACCTATATCCTGATCATCTTTTATCATCCTAGTGATCCTTTTCTCGCTGGTTTTGTCTCTAACATAATTTTTTGTTTATCACCATGGTCTGTGATGAGCAGACTAAAACAGTGCCTATAGTCAAACAAGGATGATCATAAATGACCCAAAAATAGGTTCATAAATTTGCAAACAATATCTTACAACTTTCTGACATGCTTGGAGGCTGTCCATTTTCTAATTTTTGTGCCAAAGACAAGTTTCAGACCATTAAAAAACATGGTAACACAAATTAACCTACAATTAACAACAAATTAACATTTCTCTTAGGGAAAGAATAATACATAAAATTTGAAAAATTGTTCTAAATCCTTATATAAAACATGATTTGGTCGAATAAAATTGAAAAAGTGACATTTTCCATTCACAGGATTGTTTAGTGTTAAAAAGAAGCCTGCTGATCGGACTCGGAGGGGTTGTTTTTATTTTGGGCTCAACTTATCTCAACTATCCTGGGGCAGGGCCGCTTGCATGCATAACTGCAGCATTTGTAACAAACATATCGTGGCAAATGCAAGGCTGGGGTTTTGACAAACCTGTAAGTGTTGAAGTGACAACGGCTGGAGATTTTTTCTCATTTATAAATTTACTTTGAAAGAACCCAGTGGCACAAGTGTATTCACAACTTTGGGTCATGGTCCAGCCGGTGCTTTTCGGCCTGATAGGAGCTGAAATTGATGTCAACACTCTACAACTGACCCAAGTGATTAACAGCATTGCTATCGTCATAGCAGCTCTTGCCGTAAGTATTTTTACTATCTTTGAAGCTAAAGTTACAAAATTATGCCTGCAGAATAGCTCATAAAAGGAACATTTTAATATGACGTTCATAACAAATTAGTTTTTAAAGTATTTTATTAATTCTTACAAAGATTTTCTTTTTCTTGCTTACTAAGTCACAGTGGAAAGTTCACATTGGGTTTAGAATCAATTAAAAATTAAATATAATCTATCATGATCCAAAGAAAGAAAATTGTAGTTTTTTGATGACATTTTCCATCTCATATATAAATTAAAAATTAAAATTACCATTCTGATAAATTGCTTAGTTCAGGATTGCCGTATGCTTTCTTTCTCTGATCGGCGGATCGCTCAACTGGAAAGAGATGCTATTTGTTAATCTCGCTTGGCTGCCCAAAGCTACTGTTCAGGCTGCGTTTAGTCCCCAGCCTCTCGATTATCTAAGAATTACAAACTCGACGGACAAACAAGCCTATGATATTGCCCACTTAGTTTTAACGATGGCCATCGTCGCTATAATAATAACAGCTCCTATAGGAGCGATCGCAATATCGCTGACAGGCCCGTACCTGCTGAACAAGACAGAGAAGCCCACTAAGAGTGCTGGTTAAGTAAGTCAAAGCAGATTCTGTTTGCCACGATTCTAATATTTTTCCTTTTTTTAAGGGATTTGAAGAGTTTAACATAACCTCAACAAAAAACCAAAACTGTAAGATTTAAATAAATGTACTGTAACATCAAATGAAATGTTTTTATAAAGAAAAAGACTTGATTTAGAAAATTTAGTGTATATAATGGCTGTTATTATATATAAACGTTAAAAAGGTAAAAACATCAATATTTAATAAATAACCGTTTTACATATCATGGCAACAAACATTCCATTATTTTGCCCTTTTTCCTTCCAATGCTTTGCTGAAGTAATATAATGAATGAATAGCATAACTCATAATTATAATTGAACACAACGTTTATTAAAATAATTTTAATATTGCAGTATTGAAATAATCCACTCTTTAACATTTTTTAAATATACAGTTTGCTCATTTTTGATCATTGAGGATGATGAGAAGCCAAAACGCCTGACAGCTCAAAACAGCAAATATAGGCAGACCAAAATGATAGTTTATCACACTGTAAACCTCAAGATGAATTTTTTTTTAAATAATTAACCTGTCAGGCAAACTCCTATAATTGTCAATGTACAACTTAAGGCAAAGCTACAAAAACTATAAAAACAAACAAGACCCAATTAACTCCTGATAATAATTTCCTATTGGCAACCACAAAATGTATCCTTTTATATAAGGCTTCCTCCCATCCTCTTCACAGAGATAAACGCTCTTGGGCCAAGTTTGATGAAAAAAATCCACCATCTTCATGCTTAACAACATCCATAATCTTTTACAAACAAATGTTATAGAATATTGGAATAATCCTGTACCTCCTATTTTTTTTTTTCTTTCCGAGCCATTTCCCCTTCCGAGTTTAAACATGTGATTGGCCATTTCTCCCTCAAAAAGAATCCTGGTTTTGATTTGATTACTTGTCAAATCCTTCACTATCTACCAAAGAAAAACCCTTGATTTCCTTACATCATTTTTAATTTTTATTTAGAAATCGTGAGATGCGGTCTGGTGTGATGTAGGTTTCAGAAAAACATTTTCTTTATCGTGCCAACGTTTCGATCTTTATTGAGATCATCTTTATCGAAACGTTGGCACGATAAAGAAAATGTTTTTCTAAAACCTACGTCACACCAGACCGCATCTCACGATTTCTAAATAAATATCGATTAACGGTCACTAATCACCACACATCATTTTTAATGCTGATGTAAGGACAACCTTCCAACAAACATCTGCATTTTGTATTTTTAAGTGTATCGTACTTTATGTTTTTAATTTTTTATCCACGGTATTTTGTTGTTTATCAATGATAAATTTAACTTTTGACTGTGTATCATAATTGAATGTATATTGACCGAACAATTTTGCAAAATGCTCGAATTAATTTCGGATCCGCGGTAGGGCTGGTATACATTTAATTATTAAATAAGAACAAAAGATTCCGGATTCAACATTTATTATGTCTTTACAAATTATAGTAATGTATGTCGGCACTTTAATCTAATTTAACAATATTCTTTATAACTAAATTTGATTTACATATGAATTTATTATCTTATAAATAATCAAGAGTTTAATATACAAAATATTTGAGTTCATTTCTTGGCGAAGAATTTAATTATCAAATCTGTAGATGAGGCAGGCGGGCAACAATAATAATAAAAGCTCAAACACACAGAACGCGTTACTACGCGACGTTCGGCGTTACTGTAACGTCGCGTTACGGCGATACAGTTGTATTGCATTGCATTGCATCATCCCGGCCACACACTTGGCGTTATCACTCAGCGCTACCTTTCGGAACGCGACGTTAACTTTTCGGGTTGTACAAAATTACAAAAGTAACGCGCGTTACCGGCGTTATTGGTGACTCTTTTTTCTCGAAAACATGGGTGACGATACAGAGAAACTCATTGAACAAGTGAGAAAGTACCAAAGTAGCAGTAGATCGTGCAGTTCTTCAAAATTTTGTTTTGACATTCGAAAATAATCAAAAAAGCGATCTTCACGAGAGCGCAGCTCCCTGCACAGACGGTGGTATTCACCCAGGTTTTCCCTCCTTCTATTTACTGGGTGAACCCAATACCGCCTCCTCCTATCACTCTCAATTAAAGCAAGAAGAACCAAAGCTTCCTCCTCCTCAGAACTACTCATGATTGCTGTACAAACTCAACCACAGTACTGTATCGCCCGCCCAGATAACGCTGCGTGTGTGACAGCCAATATCGCCGAACGCCGCGTTACGGGGCGTTCCAGTAGCGTTGCGTAGTAACGCGTTCTGTGTGTTTGAGCCTTAAGAAGAGTAATCTCGAGCACAATGTATCAGCACGAGATTGTTACCTGATGTCTAGTTGACGTCAGCGGATAGGATATACAGCCTCTCTTATGATTCATGCGGCGGTTAGAATAAAGTGCCTTCACGATGGCGGATTTTGTCTAAGGCAGACGACACGACGGGTTTGGTAATTTTCTGGTTATCCAAACTGAACACCGGACTGACACTTCATAAAACCAGAGGTTTTCGTTCACGCATGCGCACAAAGAACGCGGTCTTGACACTTTTAAAGTTGTTCGGAGACTGTCACAAACATCTGATCGCAGACCAGAGGACTACAAAACAAAAGAACTCAAACCCATGGCATCTAAATAATTACTTTAATATTGTTGACCACAACATTGGATTTATCCCAATCTTCTAGAGACAATAATGAGGAATGAGGCAGGATCTGCTGACTCATACAATTCATGAGAAACGTGTTTTTAACTCCTTCAACCTGAAAAAGACCTTTTAATGCTTGAAATATGGAACCTTTGAACCCGCAAACTATGAGTAAGAACAATCTTTTAACGTAGTTTATCCTTAGTTATATTCACAAAATTGTTTTCCTCCTAACTCGGTCTACTCCTCTTCAAGGCAATACCTGCATAACCTATCTTCTGCCACTACTATTTTCAAATTCCTATTGAGTCCGCATTGAATGTTTTTCAAATTGGTTGCAGCAGATTTGTAGTAAAGTTTGACGAGACTTTCTTGGCATTATTTTACCTGCTTCCATCTTGAAGTATTGTTCTACCAATTATGTTTAATTTGATCAATTCAATAATTACTATATTTTTATGGTAGTTTGAAATTGTACGGAAAAGTTTCTGGTGAAAAACCCTCCCTGGCTGATTTAACAGCCTCTTAGTTGCTGCTAGACAGTTTCTTCTCTGCTCCTATTATGCCCAGATCCTTGTTTTGAAGTCATTTGAAAAAATTCTCCACAAGAAAGTTAATGATGAACTCATTTGTCTCTAGAGCATTATAATGACGATTTGCGATAATGTAACCATTTAGAAAAAGAGTAGGACAAAAGTAAACAGCTGTTCCTCTATTAACCCATGTGTTTGAATGCCGTTTGACGATTTCTTCACAAAAACGTGAACGAAGGCAAAGTGAATTGGCTTAAGATTAGTCAGAAATGAATTCATTTGCTTCCAGTAGATTACTATAACTAAATGGTTCAGAAAAGATTCTTAGAACGTCTAGAAAGGGAATATTGCAAATTTAACCTAGATTTTCCGTTGCGTTAGACGAATCTTTATAATTAGGAAAACGAAATAAAGTGGAGGTGTCGAAATAAAATGGGCAGATTAGTTATCAGAAACGAAGTTATGCACTTCCTAGCACTTTACAATCATATAATAATGAATCATTTCAGGAAAAAAAATGGCAACTACCTGTAACCGACTATTGCAAACTAAAAGATTGAAAATTGAAGTCATTTGCCTTCAATACATTTTGATGACTTCGATAATAATGAAGTAGTTCGAAAAAGATAACAGGAAACTTTAGTATACAGTTATTGCAGACTAAACGCAAAATTTACAGAGGAATTCTTCACAACAAAGAGAAAAACTAGGTCGTTTGCTTCCAGTGCATTTCTATTTTATAGTTATTATAAACTTAGATTTTGCATGGCATTTCGAGGAATCATTCACAAAAAAGTGAAAAATGAAGTCCATTTTTATGACTATTTACGACAACGATGCGGTTCAGACAAAATAAAAGTCTTCAACAAGAATGATAAATTGACGTCATTTATATTCAGTACTTTGTGGTGTTTAGTGACCTTTAGTTAATGATTGTTTGGAGATCGTGAGATGTGGTCTGGTGTGACGTAGGTTTTAGAAAAACATTTTCTTTATCGTGACAACGTTTTGATCTTTATTGAGATCATCTTCAGGGCTCAAAGTATTTGTTTTTCTCACGATCGAATAATTATATTCAGTACGTTATAATAATCCTTTACTATAAGGAAGTGGTTCAGAGTAGCCACGATTTGAGTGGAAAATTTCTCTTTGTTGATTTTTACGACGTTAATTTGTTATAGTTCACGTGTGAAATGTGCCAACAGGGAGAAAAATATATCATTTTTTACATTTTTATAAATTTTCTTGTTAACATTGCGAAATAAATAATCATCTGGTCTGTCGTTGCACTCATTATTTAGCTCTAACTTCTCACTGTTTAGCTTTGTTAAAATAGTTGTTACGAGAATCATCCCTTGTTCTTTGGAAGGTTAAAAAGGACGTTTTTCTATAGTTTTCTACAAAAATTCGTCCAGTAGTGAAAACATATTTGGCACCCGTTGTATTCTACATGCTACGTTTCTAGTTCTAAAAACCCATTAAACGGTTCACCGTAGCAAGTCTAGAAGAAAGCCACTGAAGTCACTACTTCCTATCATCAGTCGTTTTTCTGCAAAAAGTGAATTTAATTCGACATCCTGCAACCCACAAGGAATAAAGACTCTCTCAAATGTAAGTACAAAAATTAAATTAAAAGTTTGGGATGATAAATAATATCCTATACATAAAAAGGCGTTCAACGGGAGAAGGGTAGGTTAAAACAGGCATGGAACAATGTCTTAATACACTTCTCATTTTTATTGTTCTTTGTAAGCATCGTAAATTTTTAGGGGGCTTAATGAGCAACTTAGCCAGTAGCAAGCCATAGCTTACCACGTCGACCAGTTGTAGTTTTAATTAAAAAAAAAATGCCTTGTTCTCGAAACAGCTGTATCTTTTTGGTTAGGAAAATAATTATGTGGAAAGAAAAAAAACGTTGTAAGTAGACAGTATTAAGTTTAAATTTATGAAATTCTGTATTTAAAAGTTTTTCGTGTTTTTTTCACAATTTGACAATCGGTTTACAGTTGATGATTTATTGCCAAAATTATTGCGTTCATTTTTTTCGAAATACAATCCGCAGCAGTGAACAAAGAGGTTTTGGTGTGTGGCTGTGTAACTAAATTTATGTAACGAAATTTTTCTAAAATCCATTTTTCATAAAGACGCTACTTTTAGCAAAATGTATACCTACTTTTTGTTGAATGGAGGCCGATTGATCCGACAAGTTTTGGGCTTTTAGTCTTTCACAATACGTGCAGTTCAAAATTGAAACAACTCACAGACCTCAACACAATTTAATAGAGTGTCATAAAAAATTACCGTTTTTCTTGCTAATTTAAAAATTTTTTTTTTTTTTTTTAATATTCAAAGTGTATACCGTTGTGTTCTATGGTTTGTTGCCATCTCGAGGCCAGGTGACGGATTCCTTCACGGTACCATTTTGTTTGTGTTTTGAATGGAAGAAATCCGCAACTTCATGTTGAACCTCATCCAGGGAATTAGTTTTTTAGTTTTCTACTGAAGATAATGAGCCATGGACCGGAACTGATGTAGTTGAAAGGTGCGCTAAGTGGTCTGTAAGGAGGATGAGGGAGTTGTTCAATTTCATCCAAATCTGTAATTTTTTCGTTTGGAGAGTGTGAAGTCGGGCGTTATCTTGAAACAAAACCCGATTTCTATTTACAACTCCTGGGTAACGCTGGTTCAAAACATCTTACATTTTTTGTACGAAATTTTTTACATTTTTTGAAACTGTTCACAATAAAGTTTTGAGATGTGGAATGTTTAGTGATCGTTAATCAATGATAATTCGGTGATCGTGAGATGCGGTCTGGTGTGTCTTAGGTTTCAGAAAAACAGAGCCTGGGATTTATAAACATTGTTTAAATTTTACAAATACATATACGATGTGAAGAAAATGAATTTATACAATGCTAGAAAATTTTAGATTAAAAAAATGAATTTATATAATGATAGAAAATTTTAGATTTAAAAATTTTTCTAGCATTGTATAAATTCATTGTTTAATTTAAAATTTTCTATCAATATATAAATTCATTTTTTTAATCTAAAATGTTCTAGCATTGAATAAATTTATTCTTTTTTAAATGTAAAATTTTCTATCATTACATAAATTCATTTTTTTAAATATAAAATTTTCAAGCATTGTAAAAATTCATTTTTTTTATCTAAAATTTTTTAGCATTGCATAATTTCATTTTTTTAATCTAAAATTTTCTAGCATTGTATAAATTCATTTTTTTTTTACATCCTACATGTATTTGTAAAATTTAAACAATGTTTATAAATCCTAGGCTCTGAAGATGATGTCAATAAAGATCGAAACTATGGGACGATAAAGAAAATCTTTTTCTAAAACCTACGTCACACCAGACCGCATCTCACGATCTCCGAATAATAATAATAAGTTTTAATCGACCTTCTAGAATGAACTCGTAATTAATTATGCCTTCGTAATTCCAATACAGAGAGCTTTGCCTTTTTTGTCGAATAGTCCTGGTTTTGTGACTGGTAGTGAAGGCTGATTAGAGTCCAACCTGATGATGAGCTAAGGTCTCGAAATCAGGATTGTTGGAAAACAACTTGCTTTGAGTAGGAACTATCTTTAAAAAATTAAAAAATATAAAAAAAACTCCAAGACAAAATTGGAGGCATCAGGCAAGACGAGATCTTTTTTTACACAAAATCTATACGGGATTTCAATTTCCAAGAAAATTAATTCGGTAATTTTTAATGTCTCACCCTATTACATATAAAAAAAATTCTTCTTATAATACAAAAATAGTAAAATATTCAACTTTAGTTGAAATGTGATTCATCTAACCTAAAAATGTTTAAGCTCATGGAAGTGAGGGTAAAAATACTCGGCTTGCCAAGATCGGCTCCGTGTACTCGCTCAGTGCAGCGTCGTCACGGTATGCTGACTTGGACGATGAAACTGAAGATAGATTGAAGAACATAACCTACCATGACTCGGACAGTGATCTTTCGGGAGAAAGGTATTTAAAAAAGTATATAAACTAGTACTTTTCAAGATCCATATTTCAATTTTGTTTTTCAGCTGCTCTTTGAAGTTTAAGAACTGGATAAGAAAGCAGGCGTTTCTTCCAAATGATTTTTCTGTCTCGGCCACAGGAGATCTCTTGTTCGTCATTCTCACATTGTTAATCACCATGTTGTTCTTTAATGAAAAAGCGTTGCCGGGCGGTGAAATCTTCCACTTGCTTTTCCTCGTGGTATCCTGTTTTTTCGCTGGTAAATTCTTCGCTTTTATCCGTTTGCCGCCACTATTGGGACAGCTCTGGATGGGGATTTTGCTGAGGACGTTTGACCTTATAAAAACTGGGAGCGTGTACTTTTTCCTCATCACCGCCGTGAGGTAAATGTCAATCGTTTCAACCGACCTCTTCTGTTTCAATTTAAATCTCTCGTTATTTATTTAGGCAGGTTTCGATGGCGATTATATTGCTCAAGGCCGGTCTGGGATTGGAACTTCATTCGATGCTTAAACTCAAATGGATGATATTCAAATTGACGTTTTTCCCGTGCATAGGCGAAGCAACAGCTGCAGCATTCATCTCACACTACGCTCTCGGCTTCAATTGGTTCTGGGGCTTTCTAATGGGGCAAGTTATTATTACATAAAACATATACATACACATTTTAAGTATTCCATAATGTGGAATTAGTCAAAAATTCTTTTTTTGTTTGCGTTTGTCTTTTCACTATTTGGAACAACATGAAAGTCAAATAAAAACAGGAGTGTACACTCATATCTACAAATACCTATTGTTTAAGAATGTATCTTTCTGAATTTATCAGGCTTTCAGCCAGCCCAGATCTCAAACCTCTATACTACAAATTATGGTCGGGGGGCTTAAGCTGGGCGCACACTAGATCGGTGGGGGGCGCGACGCGGCGCGGTGCGGAATTGTGAAGGTCCGTGCACTATGTAGGAATAGGAAGAAGGAACTGCTCTCGGCCACGTTGGTCGTATTTTCCCCCTCCATCTGACTAGCGCTGCGGTTCAGTGTTGATTTTGCATTTCCAGGAGTCCACGTCACAATCGTTGGCTTCGTCTTTGCAAATATGGCGTCCGAGGGCAACCGAATATTCCCGAACTCAAAGATTTCCGACCGCCCCGGCGCACACTAGGCCCGTAGCGCGGCGCGGAGCCGGGTTCCAAAAATCTGGCAACTTCCTACGACTCCGCGCCGCCCTACCGGTCTAGTGTGCGCTCAGCTTTATAGGAAAAAAATCATTAATCGAAACTTTGAAAAAAGTCTGATTAAAGCAGACGAACATTTCCACTAGAGACAGTCCTTCCTGCTGTAATCGAGTGACCAAATCGTCTTCAGTCCTGTGTTTGAGTTTTATATTAGTATATTAACAATTAATTAAGGTTTTTAGTTGAGATGAAAAAAAGTTAATGGCACGAGCGGGATTCGAACCCACGATCTTCGGCTAGATACGCCGCTGATCGACCACTTGAGCTATCGTGACCTCGATCCACTCGGACATCAACTTCCTATCTCAACCCCACCTTATGAGTTTTCCCTCCTTTTTGCCATTTTTCATTAGGTGGGGTTGAGATAGGAAGTTGATGTCCGAGTGGATCGAGGTCACGATAGCTCAAGTGGTAGAGCAGCGGCGTATCTAGCCGAAGATGGTGGGTTCGAATCCCGCTCGTGCCATTAACTTTTTTTTCATCTCAACTAAAAACCTTAATTAATTGTAATGTATTAATTGGTCAAGCGGACCACGAAATTAGTGAATTTAATATATATTAATCAATATAATTTTTGCCGTCGTTGTTGACCATATTATTTTTCATTTCAACCAATACCTTAGATAAAAATAATTCATATTAGTATTTTATGCAACAAACATTTTTAGTTGAAGGTTTGTCTAATTGTAAACATCCTGAGCTGTCGTGACAAAACTTAGGTCTAGATTAGCAAACATTTAACTATTATTTTAAGTGCGAATACGTTGGTTAATAGGAGCCAGTCAAATTGGTCCATTGTGCGTAAATGCTTAAATAAGTAAGTTTACTTTCCTCTAAAAGAGCTGAAAGAAAGACACTTTGAAATTTTCTGATGATGACTTGTTTCTCAGAGTATTACATACACGTGGTCTGTAGTAAAAGATGGACGCTGCTTACTGTAGTAACGATTTTAACACAAAGATTCTCATTCAGTAACGGGGGGACATAACCCTTCCCAGATCAATTTATATACTTTTTCTTTTTCAAATCTTGTGTATCGACTATGGTACTGTGACAATTTATTTGTTCTACTTATGTCAATAATGTATCGAAGCTGTAATAATAAACTGTAAAGAAGGGAATTAGACGATGTATTTTTGTTTGTAACAATTTCAGATTTCTTTTGAGTTCGATTTCACCTGCAGTTGTCATCCCACCCTTGCTCCATTTGAAAGCTCAAGGCTACGGCGAAGACAAAGGAATCTCTACAGTCGTCATAGCTGCAGCCGGGTTGGATGACATCCTCTCCATTTCCTGTTTCAGTCTTTTCCACTCCATTTTGTTCAAACCGTCGGGTTCGTTGAATAGAATTGAATCTGATTGAATTGCCTGCCCACCGTGAGATTAATTTGAGTATTTCTTTTTTAAGCCAACGTTTACCGTGAAATCCTGCATGGCCCAATTGACCTCGTCCTCGGGTCTTTCACCGGGGCGGTGTGGGGCTTAATTGCCGCTCTGTTTCCACACAAGGAGGATGTAAGCAGTTTGGGATTCACTCACTTTGACGTTTATTAAAACGCTTCATTTTTGTAGGATTTCGTCTCCATCAAAAGAAGCGCGATGATCTCGATGGGAGGAATATGTGCAGTACTAGCAAGCATTCACTACAACGTGGACTCTGCCGGTCCCATATTCTGCATGGTATCGGCATTCGTGGCCAGCCTGTGTTGGAAGGTCCAGTACCACAGGCTAGAAGAGCCGATCGGATCCGGCCAGCTAAACGTACGATTGTGAAATTTCATATTTTAAATCTACAGGGTGATGATCCTGAGGTTTGGTTGTTTCCAATCATCGTGCTCAATCACCGCAGCTTTTCGACTTTTATATACCTTCAGTAATGGGTTTCTTTATAAAATAAATATCTAGTAGATGGCAAAAAGCCGAAGCCAGTCTGACACATTTAAGCAGTGGGAATTGGCAAACCTGAATGATTGGAAACGAGCAAACTAAACTTCTGATATTCCGCGTTGAACTAGCGGAACTAACTATAAATATGTTCATTTAATGTTTACAATCACAGAAAATACAGCAAATTAAATTCAGCTTATTTACTAGAGGAGAAACTCCAAAAGGGTACATTTATTGGGTCGTCCGGAAAATAAGGCAGGAATTTGGTTATAAAATAAAAACAAATAAATAAATGATTTTAAACATTTTTTACTAAGTCAAATACCCTTCATCACGCATAATACACTTCTCCCAACGAGAAGGCAATTCTCAATACTCTCTGAATAAAATTTTAAGTCTTTATTATTAACAAATTCTATAAACTTATTTTCTAACGACTTGTGATCAATAAATTTTTTATGTTGTAAAACGTAGTCCGGGTGTCTGTAGAAAAGTTTTAGTGTCGTCACATCACATGTGAGACATGGGGCCGAGCGCGTTGTGTAAAAGAATCGGCCTTTTTCGATTGACCAAAAATGACTCCAATAGTGCCAATTTCTCGTGCATTGCAATACATTTAGGCATTGTTTCGCCAGGATTCAAGAAGCTGTAGTAAATCAGCCCAAATGAAGTTCACCAAAGAGTCACCATCAACTATTTTGATGAATTAGGGGCTTTGGAAAATGTGGTGCTACTTCTCCTTTATCGAGCCACTACCGAGAACGCCTGCTGTTATCGTAGAGAATCCACTTTTCATTACAAGCAACAATTTTATCCTGAAAAGGTTCGTTTCTGTGTCGGCAGTGTTCAGCTAATTTCGTAAATTATTAAATTCACTAGTTTTCGTGATCCGCTTGACCAATTAATATTTCTCAATTAATTAAGGTTTTTAGTTGAGATAAAAAGTCAGTGTCACGAGCCCATTCGAACCCACGACCATTGGCTAGGTACGCCGCTACTCTACCACTTGAGCTATCGTGACTTCTTTCCCCTCGAACGAAACACTTCCCATCTTAGCTCCACCTTTTGAATTTTCCCTCCTTTTTGCCATTTTTCAAATGTCGTGTAACCTATTTGATTCTCGGCGACAAATAAAATGGCCACGGAGAGCTTTAGTGAAGGTATGCTTCATTTTAACTCATTAAATTCACTAGTTTTCGTGGTCCGCTTGACCAATTATATCTTTCAATTAATTAAGGTTTTTATTTGAGATAAAATTAATGAAATGAGATAAATGAATATGAATACGTATACCTATGGTAGGGGGTTTAGTTGGTTGACTCAGGTGTAGAATAGGTAGAGGATCGGTCCGAGCAAACTGCCCTGTGTTACTCCCGCTCAAATAGAAATTTGAACCACAATTTCTGGCCTGAAGCTTTACATTTCTATTCGGTAGGTTTAATGTTTCAACAGGAAAACTGTCAAATGCATAATATTATTTGGTAAAAAGTTTCAAGGAAATAATGTTTCCGACACTATTTTTAGTTGATTTGATGCATTGTAACCAATATTTATTTTATATTGTTTAATTAAAATGTCTATGTTACTCTGTTTTCTCTTAATTGTTCAACATTGGCATTGTTTCTTTTTCAGGACAACGTTGCTTACTTTTTCAGAGTGATATGGGTAATGATAGAGCCGTTTCTTTTCGGAATGATCGGAGCTGAGATAGATGTGAGGGCCCTCGAGCCAACCAAAGTCGCTTACAGCATATTGATTATAGTAGGCGCTCTCATTGTAAGAGGAATAAAGTTAGCCCGATGATATCTCGATGATGCTTTTTACCCTTCCGATGTTTTTCAGTTCAGAGTCATGATCTGCTTCCTTTCTCTGATCGGTAGCGATTTGAACTGGAAAGAAATGCTATTTGTTAACTTGGCCTGGCTGCCGAAAGCGACTGTCCAAGCGGCGATCGGGCCTCTCCCATTGGACCATCTACGTGCTAGAGAGAACACATCAAATCCGCCAAGCGCAGATGACCTGGACAAAGCTTTGCTGTTGCTGACAACCGCAGTACTAAGCATATTGATCACTGCACCCCTGGGTGCCGTATTCATTCAGTTCACTGGTCCATGCTTGCTCTCCAAACCAAAGCAGCCAAAGGAAATTAAGAAAAAGGTACAACATTGAAAGTGATTAGAAACGAAATTAAAAATGTAATATATTTTATTCATCATCTGTTGTTTTGTTTAAATTAAAAAATTTAATAATTAAACAAATAAAAAGAGAAAATAATAAGCCATCTACTTACTTTAAAAAAATGATATTTTTTACTAATAGGTAGCTATTCTTTCTTTTATTATATAATCAAACCACTGAAGATGGCGATATTCTTCTCAGTGAACCGAACAACACAAATGTAACGGGCGAGAAATCTGGTTGTCACCATGTCCTCTACTGTTTCCCGGAGGATAATATCCTTAATGGTATGGAATTTGAAGAAATGCGTAAGGAAACACTTGTAAAAGACCACCTCTCGTCACTGGGCAGGAAGAGGGCCTAACAAGTAAAAACACAGTCTCGACAAAATGGTGCAGCAAATTAACGATCTAGGAGGCACAAAGCGGGCAGAGGAACTCTCCTGCTTTCGCCCAATCCCAGGTCACATTCACCTACCTTCCTTGGATTGCTTAAAGTAATTCCCTTCTCCACATTATTACATTCAACCCGGGAGCAGACACCACATAGCCTAGTTCACAATGCCGAGTTGTACGGGGCTCCTTGGATGATAAGACCTCCGCCTTCTCCAGCAGAAACAGAATGCCACTAAGCTGATCGAGCAAGGTCGTCGTTCTGCCTGTTCTTCACCGGGTCGACAGTGGTTCACCGTGTAGGCGGAGGTTACAGGGGTAACGGGAGAGGTCCATTGGTGCTCTACTTAACCGCCCATAGGTTGTAAGCACCAGATGTAGTGAGTTATCACAGCACTCCCTCGCATGCGCATGCTTAGGACGATTAGTACTTTTTGCGAATCAACTGCGAGGGGCAGAAGAACGGGTGCATCCACATGGCTGAGCCACCTGAAGATGTCGATATGCAGAAACGCCTCTGTAGTGGCTACTTGTAGTTACTACACGTTACCGCTAGATGCCACTACCACTTATGGAATGTTCTCGCCCGCCATTCTGCAGCCAATCAGAGTAGAACTCTCCCTATATAAGCAGGGGCACTGCCTCGCTGGAATCAGACTCGTCAACCCGACGAGATCTCACCAATCACTAATGTAACCTACATCGGCCACAATGACAGCAGACTCGTCGACACGACGAGGTCTCATTCATCACTAATCAACGACAGCAGACTCGTCAACCCGACGAGCTAGTCAAAAATGGAACACCGTCGACGACAGCAAGGGTACTCGCGGTTTTAGCCTGATCCTCGCATTCTATACACAGCCGACTTGTCTATAAACGCCAAACGCTGCTCTCGCCGCACTCCAGTACCTTCGGCCTCTGTGGAGTCAACCGACTCACTGCCCCGGACCTCAGCCAACGGTCACACAACACCACAAACGACAACTCGCTCACGGTCTCGGCCTTGATCCATCGCCCCGACGCTACTAAACAACACCAGCCCTTTTCAGGGCCACAAAACCCCCAGTTACTAAAGCGTCTGACAGGCGAAACAAGCCAGAAAAGTCAAACCAAAAAGATTGATAATTACATAATTAGGTTCGCCACGTGGATAAATCTCACAGCATAAAATTTAGTACAATTGGTATACAATTACATAAATTGGTCCGTCCTTGCATACCAATGACAAAAAAAAAATAAAAAAGAAGAAGACACGGAGCGTGTTTCGAAACGAAATAAAACGTACTTTATACATTATCATATAGTGAGTTTCTCACTGATAATGGCGTAAGCTGACACGAGTTTGACTGAAGCTTAAACCAGCGAGAGTAGGCGGATCCAGTAAAGTGACCAAATGTCAATGCAATATGTGCAATATGTTAACAGACCAACAACCACCAGGAATTAATTTTTTCAAAGAGAACTATTGAGCCAAAAAATCAATTACTATTACAATTCTTACATTCAATTTATGCAATGATAGTTTAATATTTAAATGATGAGAGTTGTTGATACATTGGCGCATACGCTACATACTTATTTCTCACCATAAGTTGGAATAAAATTGAGAAACTTTTTAGTCATAGGTTATCGTGTATGAAAATTCGGTCAAATCGTTAATCCGATAATAATGCATTAAATTTAGAAGTAAATTCTTCAGCTAAAACACGTTAACACTTTTAATAATAGACTTCAGTTACGACATGAGACGGTTTTACACAGGATTCTGCAGAACAATTAATTATTAACATTTGGGTCCTCACACGGCCGGTACTACGTGCATTCAGTCAACATCATTGACATCCAAAACCTCCAATTATGTCAAAAATTGAGTTGATTGTAGTTTTCGTAGAGTAGAAAGAAACATGGCCCAATCTTTTAATTTTAAAAATAAACGTTTAGTAATATTGTATTAATTATTGCATTCTTCAAGTTTACTGATTTGTTTCAAATTACCCAGACGACTTACATTTTTCTAAATCCAGATTAGATACCATAAGTGTCTGTTTAAACACTCGTTAAAAAAAAGTAGCACACGTTATCTCAAACAATCAAAACAGTATTTTTCCAGGGCAACAACAGTAAGAAAATAATCAAAAGAGGTTTGATTACGTAAACTAGGTTTTTATTTTTATAACCGAATAAACATTGATACTTAGCGTACTGTCTGGCGGATGATAGTCTTATGCAACTGTCAAAAATGAACAATTTGAACTATTATTCCTATTTTCCCGTCAAGACAAAAACTAACTTTTTGCTGCCGAATCGACTTTATATAAACTACGTTGCATTTCAATTAATAAAATTAAGTAAAAAGAAGAAACACTAGGGTAATTTGTTGAACAGCCGGTTGCTAAAAAACCCAATAGAAAGATAATTTGATGGAGGTATCAGTCCGTCGATAAGCTTCATTAAAAGCTAAGTAAAATAAAGTTAAATTGTGAACTATAACGGCTGAACACTATAACGGGCTACAGCACAAACATGATCAACAAAATAATAAACAAAACACACACAAAACAACACCCTAAAACAGCATGGACCACATTCGCATACATAGCGAAAGAAACGTACAAACTAACTTATTCAACAAAATAGGTATAAAATAGAAGTGAAAAACACAAAACACGGTAGGAAAATGTAGAATAGAAGAATAGAAAAGCAATAGAAACAACCAATCAAAAAGCACATTAACATACGAATGTGGAGGCAAATGCATAGGACGACAAGACGAAAAATAAAACACAGAGACAAGCAGCATCAGATCATTTAGGGATAACTATAGAAAATGGGATTACGTGACTCACCTAATAGAAAACAATCACGAACCATCGTCAAGACAAAACAAGTACAAAACTACTATACAATGTACGAAAAAGACAAAAAATTAGTATACCCGAAAATTTAGAAATGTACAAACATAACGCATTTAACATTAAAAAACTCATAAATACACAAATTAGAAATAACTCACAAACACACGATTAAAAACATTCAAAACATTACTCAAATTAAAAAAAGGATAAAGACCGACGATCATAAAATTAGCAAGTGCAACAATTAAAAACCCTGATTGAATACACTAAACACACCTACACAAACCTCCCTCATCATCACAACCTTGTTACCGAAACTTACTGCATAGAAATCACCAAACTCAACATTGAAGATGACGAAATGCGGCTGACAGGAATATTTGTGAAAGTACTCCATTGACCCTCTAACCACTAACTTAGAGTAGTTTGGTGGAAGAATATCGAGTATATACTCCACCGACAAGAAAATTTAGATAATACAATACCCAATACTTTATTAGAATTGACACAAACAAAAAATAGAAACACTGATACAAAGTATAATAAGCATGGCTAGTAGCCGTCTGCTGAGTTTACTGCATAATAAAGCTTACAAATACAGAAATATTAAAACAAAAGAAATTCGAAGAGAAAATTTACATATAGCAGGTGTACGAATTAAAATAGATGGAAATATGAGAAAAAAGAAGAAAACAAAAAATGATTAAATAAGAACAAATTACCTCTCGAGAACCGATAGAGTACTAAAAAACAAAGCAGTAAAAATATATTTACAGGGATGACAATTATTGCATATCTGAAAGCCACTCGTATCTCACTCTCCAGGCGTGCCGAGCAAAAGAAATTAGCGGTAAAGGGGATACTTGGTTAGAAAGATAGTCCAGTATTTCAACTCTGGAGATGACTGCCTTTCCCAAGTAAGATACCCGCAATTCTGAGGGAAGAGTGTAGACTCCCAAAAAGTGATATGAATCTTCCCTGGCGTGGCTGTTACAAAGTGGACAGGTTTCATCGTGAGGATCATTCAAAACCCAGGGTTCTCCTCTTAGTTTGAATAGCCAACAAGAATCTCTAATATTAAGGTCCTGGGAAAGGCTCGGTTTATATGACAGTAGGTGTTCATTGAAAAGTTCCTTATACGAGTAGAACCTCTCTGTGCTTTTCGCCTTATTCACAGTTTCTTCTCGATGGACTTTGTTTTGTAAGGAAGTACTAAAAGGTCCGAGAGATTCTCCCGAACATCGGAGTTTTGCTAGGGGCATGAGTATTTCTGGGCTAGAGAAACCCATTGATTATACCAGGAGATATTCTTTCTAGTTATCTATAGAGCGAGTATTTTAGGCAGTCGATCATCTGGGAGGCTCAGTATCTTTGATATATATTTTAGGTGGAGGGAAAAGGTATACGAGAATAGAGGAGGCAAACAGGATTCTAGCGTTAGCATGTAATTTGGGGAGAAAGATGGTAAGCTGAAAAGTTTTTTAACAAAAAAACGTTGAAATTGTTCCACAACCTCCTAGGACTGGAAACCCCATACTTGTGCGCCGTAACATACCACTGTGCGCAGGACACCGTTATAAACTTTTAGTTTGGTTTCATACGGTACAAGCTTGTTGCGAAAAAGTTTTACCCAGATTTAGTTTAAACCTGTTTTTGCAGCCGAAATTCTAAGCAGATTTAGATGAATGGGACTGTATTTATTTCTTCGATTGTATTCTATGTGTTAGTTTAGGTTAGATTACATTTTGCATTCGTTCGGGGTTGAAATGACCTAGCTGTCGAAAGCCCCTAGAGCCTTAAGCCGGGAAACACTTACCCGAAGCTACACCATGCGACGCTACCCGATGCTACCCGACGCCTTGCCACGTTTTGGTGGGGTGTGCACATCTATCCGATGCAAGCACACGTCGCGTACAGTCCACAGCGTCTATCACAATAATGACTATCACAATCGCAACGCATCTTTTGTTCTTAATGCACTATTTTGGGCAAAGCCTTGTACTAAATTGTTAGTTAAATTTTATGAGCACAACCATCTAATAAATTGTTTGTTAAACTTAATTATTTTAAATAAAGTTACTCCGAACCATTATAATTAAACAATGTTTATAAAAACTTATGAATTTTTGATCTCGTTTAATTTGGTTTACATTAAAATAACATGTTGTAATTAATATAACGACAAAATTACATGTACTTAGTTTGAAATAAACTACAAAAAATAAGAGTGTCCTGCTGTGATGCTACCCGACGAAAATGGTGTACTTTTACGAGCAAAACTATGAAATAAATTGTTAATTAAATTTTATGAGCAAAACCATGTAATAAATTGTTCCAATTTTAGTATATGTACCGCCGAAGCGAGTACAATAAATTGTTAGTAAAATTCATTATATCAAAAAATCATATTCCGCTGTTTTGATTAATTTTCTACCAAACCATTAAAATTAATTTTTTAAATAAAAACGAATTAATTTTTAATCACAGTTAATTTGGTTTATATTAAAATAAGTATGTTGTAATTAATATAACGACAATAATACATGTAGTTTAAATAAAAATATGAGTGTCCCTTTCTTTTGTCTTCGACTGTACTCGTTGCTACCCGACGAAAATCTGGACAGTGGGGATCGCAGAGCGTCGGGTAGGTTAGCGTGGCATAGCATCGGGTAGATGTGCACGGGGGTAATGCAACCTTATGGAAAATCGGAGTCTGGATTTGCGTCGGGTAGCATCGCATGGCGTAGCATCGGGTAAGTGTGTTCCTGGCTTGGCTACCACTGTTGGTGGTAGTCCTAGAAACCCAGCCGCATAGCGGCGTAGCAGAACTCCCATGAAAGATAGACCCTAGGTTCAGCAGGCCAGGGAGTGATTAAAATAAAATAAACAATAAACTGTAATTTACAAATAGTCTATAGAAAAAAAAGGTTTTAGCTCAATAAATGACAAAAAAAGTTTTATTAGTCCTCTTCAGATTTTAGTTTTTCTTTCTTGTTCCGTTGGTTTATTTTTATCTCAAAATTACGGATTCAATGTACAACAAATAAATTCATATTTGTCTTATCCTGTCTTTTAAGTTAATCAAGAATCAAAATTAGATATTAAGTGATCACAGGAATTGAATGATTCAATGAGTTCTAATTGTCAATAAATGCTGAAGACTTGGTGGGATGCTTGCTCCTCTTACTGGATTTTGTGAATATATCCAGGAATGAGAAGAAAACCTTATGTCAATGCTTATTAAAATTGATCGCTGTATGTTTAAAATGGAAGGCGATCGTAAATTAACGCCGGCTTCCAAGCCCGACCTCTTCACTACTGATCTATATTGACCACTTTAATTGTTCGGTCGAGGTCTTGTTCAAACATCTTGATCTCTCTTCACGATGTATGTAAAAACAGCCTCTTATCTTTTAATTTCAGTCGTCACGCGGCACCTCGATGGATGTTACTCTCGGCGATACTGTTGATTTACGATTGGGAAAAGGAGGAAACTGAGGCAGACGTACTCGACCGTCCGTTAATTGTGCCGGTACCTGTAATATGCATGTGAACGATTCTTTCGAAGTTACGGAAGTTGAAAACTCCTGCAAACGTAACGAAGGTGATTCAAAATTTTATCATATGAGTGATTTTTACCGAGTGTTTCTGTGTTTATGAGAGATACGACAGGCGAGAGACATAATGTACTTACCCTTGTTGATTTTGTACATACTATATGATCCTTCCAAGATACAGGCAAAACAATATGAATATAAAGACATATAATATTTTTTGCCGATTTTAGGATAGAAGAAATTAGCCCTCTCAATCCAAACTTTATTTTTTGTTATACAAATATTTTTTAACGTTGGATAATGGACGTATGGACAAAAATAATCCAGTTTTCTTTTTGGTACATACAAAATGACTATTTCATGATCAAGTTAAAAACAAAAATAGAAGTTCAGCAATGTTTCACTTGAGTCTTGCCGAAAGACGATTGTTAATATAACAAGCAGGCACCCGATTGTGCATAATCCATACGGTTCATTATTTTATAGTGGCCTGAAAGAAACAAGCTGAACAACTGTGAGAACAATTCTTGGTCCGTTGGCCTATTTTTGGGGTGAAAGATGTAGAAAGAAAACGGTTGAGGTAGTTAGGAAGAGTCATATCCCATGCTAATTAAGGTTGTATCCTTTAGCTTCACGTTGAGAGACAGACAGACAGACAAGTAGGGAAAGAGAGAGAGAGAGAGAGAGAGAGAGAGAGAGAGAGAGAAAGAGAAAATAAGAGAGATAGAAAATCGGTAAAGGGGAGAGAGTGAAAATGAGAATGAAATAGTAAAGAGAGATAATCCCTAAGAGTGAGAAAGGATTCGAAAGAATGAGAGGGTGAGAGAGAGAGAGTGAGAAAGAAGTAAGAGGGATATATAATCTGGAATATTAAGAAGGAAATTGGAAGTGAGAGTGAGAGAGAGAGAGAGAGAGAGAGAGAGAGAGAGAGAGAGAGAGAGAGAATTAGGGAGATAGATAATCTGTAAGAATAAGAGAGAATATGGGAGAGAGTGAAAGAGGAGAGAGAGAGAAATAGGAGGGATAGATAATCTGTAGGAGTGAAAGATGATATGGGCGAGCGAGCGAGAGAGAGAGAGAAAGAAAGAGAGAGAGAGAGAGAGAGACAGAGAGAGAGAGAGAGAAAGAGAGAGAGAGAAATATTGATAATTTTAAGATTGAGAAAAAATTTGGGAGAGAAATAGGAGAAATAGAAAGCCTGTAAGATTAAGACAGAATATGGGAGATTGGAAGAGGAGAGAGAGAGAGAAAAAAATAGGAGTGATAGATAATCTGAAGGAGAAAGAGGGATGATATGGGCGAGTGAGTGAGAGAGAGAGAGAGAGAGAGAGAGAGAGAGAAGAGAGAAAAATATAGATAATTTGTAAGAGTGAGAAAAAATTTGGGAGAGTAAGAGGGTGAGAGAAATAGGGGAAATAGGAAGCTGTAAGATTAAGAGAAAATATGGGAGATTGAAAGAGGAGAGAGAGAGAGAGAGAAATAGGAGGGATAGATAATCTGTAGGAGTGAGAGATGACATGGGCTACCGAGCGAGCGAGCGAGCGAGAGAGAGAGAGAGAGAGAGAGAGAGAGAGAGAGAGAGAGAGAGAGGTAGTGAAAACTAAATGTTAAGAAATATCTAAGGAAAAAATCCAAATTTGTATCGTATCCAATCATTATTGTGTTTTTATGTGTTTGTATTTTAGAGATAACTGATAAATAATTAACACGATAAATACTAAACAATCAGGAATGGCATGGACGAAATATCTGTACTTCATTTCCACTTTGCACGCTCATAAACACACTTACATTCCTTAAAACCAGTTCATTCAGCGACGACCTCCCACAGTTTTTTTCCACATCAATAAATAACGACTCTTAATTCTCTTTTCTAATTGTGAAACGATTACTTGTCCATAATTTGAAAAGTGACATTCCTTGTAATTTCTAGTTTTGTAATTGTTCTCTACTCTGCTCAAAAGTCAAAAACCCTAATGGATGCAAATTAGAAAATATCCGTTATAATTTAACTAGAGACGAAAACTTACTAATATTTACAATAACTGCAAGAGCGTTTTATCCTCCAGACATTATAGTACCAATATGTAATAATGGCTGAAGAGTTTATTGTTTTGTACCTGATAGATAAGTAGAGAGAGAGAGAGAGAAAAGATAGATTGATAGACAGATAGGTAGATAGATAGATAGATAGAGAGAGAGAAAGAGAGAGAGAGAGAGAGAGAGAGAGAGAGAGAGAGAGAGTGAGAGTGAAGAAGAGAGAGAGCGTGAGAGAGAGAATTCTTTACAAATCGGGCACTTGAATTAATGAAGGTATGACGTTAACATATAGTGAAATAAATCAATTTTGTGATTTATAAAATATAAAAAAATAGAAGTGTAGTAGCGATAATAAAAACATTAGAGAAAAAATAGTAATAGCAAAAGACTTCCTTGTCTTGTGCGAACATAATCACAAAACGTGAACATAAAGTTGATAAAAGTAAGGAAAAAGCTTTCTTTTGTAGCAATAGGATCTAATAAAATTGTTCAACTATGTTGTCTCTGTTTGGAGGAAGATGAGGTGCTGGACAGAAGGGACTTAAAAGTAGTAAGGGAGACGCGACTGTGTGGATTGTCAAAGGAAAAGAATTCCGGAGATTGATGGCTCCAGCTTGGAAAGCTAAAATTTGGAGATGCTATGACGATGAAGATTTAAGTCATTGGGAAACGAGCCGGTGTTAAAAGAGTGATAGAAGATTCGAATTGAAGAAGATGAAAAGTACAGTGAGGTCGACGAGAGTTTAAGGATTAGGTAAAGGAAGATGCCTATACAATTTTTCCTAAGGAAAGAGTGATAAAGCCAGGATAGGTCTGAATACGATATGAGACTGGACTTTCGGGGTGCCGAAAATAACCTAAGACGGCAATTCATCAGTCTTTCAGAAGCTTTTCTTCTTCCTCCGAAGTCCACCATAAGCAATACAGCTGTCGTCGAAGAGGAGAAAGAGGAGAGAGGAGACAAGGAGTTTACGAAAGGTAGAACGAGCCAGGACTAACATAAAACAGTTCTAGAATCTAATTGGAATGAAATGGAAAGTAGGCTATTAATTGGAGAGCAACTCTTGAAATTGACAAGTAACGAGAAATTTCTTATTCTTTTCTTTTGAATGTCTTATTTTTACGACCAGACCGTAAGGTTGTATATGCGTTTGGTGTGCAAAATATAAATAAACCTATATTCATTCAAATTTAAGGATGGTGCGTTAATTTTGTCCGTCGGCGTATTGCAGATAAGACCCACAGACGACTTCAAGTACCTAGTCAATAAACCTAGAAGTTGGTCAGTTTGGTCGGTTGTTTATCTTTCGTGGTGTACACAACAATGAAGATAGTTATTTCAAAGAATAAACCAAAACTGGAATAACGAAGTTCTTACTAATAAGTCATAATCAAGGTCATGTCAGCTCATACAAAATTTTAGCGCTTTGACGTTGCAATGTCATATTGATTCAGTTAATCCCAGACGTAAACATCTTTACGAACAGAAGAAACATCTTGAGATAATTACGTTTACTTAACCGATAGCGTTAACTGACTTTAATTCAAATTTGAATGAACTTTACGCGTTAACAATCTTCACTCGCCTTCGTGTGTATCACGTTAAACTGTTGGGTCATAGAGAACTTCGAACTTAAAATGCCGGACGACGAGTTCAATAACAATTAAACTGTTGTTTGACCATGGCCCGATTTTCAGCTTAGAAGGCCTCTTAATGTAAATTCTTTAAATTAGGAATTTATAAGGGATCGTTCTTATAAGAAATCGACATTATTTATGTTTTGGCCTATAGAAAAATAACCGCGATTCAGAAATAATAATTTTTTTTTTCTTTCCCAACTTCCATCATACAGAATACTAATAATAAATAAACAAATAATTTAACATTACACGTCACTGAATTGATTTAAACTTAATTTCTCCAACTATCATCAAACTAAACTCTGTGGAATATGGCGGATGATAAGTAGGGGTTTGAAATGTAACAAAATATTCAACTATGTTATAAAAAGCCTTCAGTTTTAATTTAGAAAAGGATTTTATGGACGGAAATAAGCTTTTTTTTTCTATAGAAATTCGGTCAGAAATTCAATTATTTGATTGAACCTACCAGTTTTCTTAAGAGGAATGGTCCAGGTCAGTCAGTTTAATGCATGATAAGTCTTTTGGCTTAAGAAATAATCTTTAATGAACAAAGTGCTAGCTTTCTACGCTTTGTTTATAGGCATAATCTGCAGTTTGTTGCCTTGATGAGCTTCGTGATATTGGAGTCTGATTCTGTAGTTCGGTCATATTGGTCAAATTCGTTATGCGCTTTTTGGTTTGTCTGTTCCATTATCTTCAATGGTGCCAAACTTAAGGGGCTCACGGGGGAAAGCGGTAAAATGCAAAAAGCAGGCATATGTAGACAAGGATGATTGGTTCATTTCACAGACATAATGAGAAAATTTCACAGTCAGACCTACCTTACTCACATCCTCCTCACAAGTCTGATATGAATTTAGTTAATTGCAGTTCATAATGTTTGTATTCGCCTGTGATATTTCTCCATGTGGTTTATGGGGTGATGAATTTGTTATTTGTTCGTTACTGATCACTGTTCATTTTTTTGGTTTAAACTATCAGATGCATTTTGACTTTTTGCTAACATCAGCAGGTGAGAATATAAACTTAAAGAAGGACACGATTCATGATAAAACACACAGGCGAACCACCAAAGTGGTAAGATGACAAAATCAGTGGAGATCGGCAGAAAGGACGATCGGAAATTCTAGGTTTATTGTCTTGGTCCTTGAAGACATTTCAAGGTTTGATATGATCTCATCTTACTCACTTCTTCCTTACAAGCCTGAATTTTGTAAATCCTGTGCATAGCATTTGTGTTATTTCACCATGTTGTCTGTTAGGCAATAAACCTGTTATTTGTATGTTACTGATCAAATTAATCTGCTGGTTTCGCTTTCTCGCCATCATCAGTGCAGGTTTTAGGCAATTCAAAATGTTCTCAAAATACCAACATTTTATTATGGCACATTTTATGCTCCCCCCCACCAAAAAAAGCCAGACTGATTTCTGTGATACAGAATTGATAAAATCAATAAAAATTTAATATCGCAGACCCAATTAAACCTTTTGTTTACTGAGTACCAACACAACGATAATAAAATTAAATACACTTTAAAATTAAATTTAATTGATATTGTCACTCATGGCTACTTGAACCTTGTATTTGCTTATTAAATAATACTTTTGTGGTATCCGCATGTTAATAATAATTGTATTCCAATCAAATACCCCTTCAAGTCGAGAACCACTTGAAAGAATGAAATTTCCAATTAGTTTTCACTTTTTTTCCTTTGGCAATATCAGTTATCAATTAACATTTATCAGCGGTAATATAAAAGTGCTTGGATTTTTTTTTCTTTCAGTTTTACAAATATCTTGTCAATGTCAGTTTTGGATTTTTAAAAATAAAAACAAACAAGCAGTTTTACTCATGTTTCAGATTTTTATCAGAAATTAAATTTGAAATACTTACATTACAACCATGTAAATAAATGAATTAATACAGATATATCATTTGATTGAAGGTATGCATTATTAGGTATTAAAGAATATGTAAGGATGTTAGGTGAATGTATATATTTGCGAAATTGAATAGTGTGTGGCTGATAGCGTATGTTCACTTATTTGGATGTATTGTATTTGAATTGACAGAGGAATATAAAAGAAGAATGTATTAAAGAATTAATTAAAATGATAAGATTTAAAGTTGCATACATTAGGGGCTGAATATCTAGCTGTTTTTTTTTTGTTTTGTTTTTTGATGGCACTCTGCATTTTCTGCGTTTTGTCTTACACATGTGTGGTAACAGCTTCCTAGCCCCTTCAAGAGCGATTTACATTCTGCTGAAATGTGGGGTACATCGAACATGTTGCTTCTTCCTTCATAAATGTCCCCTCTCACACATGGTGAAAAGTCCTAATTCAATCAATATTTCAGTAACGTACTTACACGCGCACAGAGAATTAAAAAAAAAAAAAAAAAAGTTTTCCAGCTTTCAAAGCATAAACCAATTACAATGTTCTATACAAACATGTCTTATCACACAAGTACAACGTAGAAAGGTTCAATTTTATTTCAAAGACAAATTGGGCTACTGTGTTGCAGTTGAAGAGAATGTCTTTGAACATCTCATTTTATAAACTTTTTTTTTTATTATTGTTTATCGAATTCTTGTTTATAAAATCATGAAGTGCTTCGACCCTTTTTGTTTAGTTATTGCTGTATATAGTGCTGATGCATTTTGGTGCCAATCTAGCTCCCCTCTTCAAGGTTCCTGCAAGTTCCACCTTATTTTCTCCTTTATTTTATCCTTTCTTAAATGAATTAAAATTTGAAAATGTATTATGCGTACACAAGTTGTCACATTGAATATTTAATGTGGTGTACATTTTTTTTTTTTTTTGGGGGGGGGGCAGGACAGTATTCTTTATTTCATGAATGTATTTTTTTAAATAAAATTTTGGGAATTTAAATGTTTTAAATTTTAGTTTTTACATGGCAATCCCAAAGGAATTAAAAATGTCATTTTCTGATAATGAGTCAATTGTTAAATACCAAAAATTGCAATTTTAATAGTAAAATAAAAAAGAACAGAAACAAAACATATTTGTGCATCGAACTGTGCTACTTAAAGTAAAAATAAAATTTAAAAAATTGTTCAGGAGTACATGATTATGCATTCCTTGCAGCAGGCATTCACGTGATTTGAAATGATTTTCCGGTTTCTAGACAAGTCTATGATTTTCATTTCTACCTCTTATCAATGCCAATTAAAAAAACCGAGCATTCAACAAAGCGAGAGCATTTCCCAATATTCGATATCAGAAAGAGGATGAATCATTAGCACTTTTACCATTACCTCATGCCAAATCTGTGCTAAATAGTCTAGTTGATAACAAGCGTATACGCTAAATACTGAGGGAATGGATTTTGAAGGGGTAACATCACAAAAATTATTAGGTAAACTAAAGATCATGTAATATTTCTATAATCTATAACTATTTTAAAGTTGTTTCATATCTCAAACAAGAGAATTAAAATAGATCTGATATTATTTTGATATCGTTGCATACATTATAGCTAGTTTTACCATTGGGATTGTACAATTAACAGAAAATTTTATTTAAAAAATCTTATTTATTTGTATCTTTAATTTTTCTTCTTTTCTTTAATTAATATTACATGTATTACTTTATGATTATTTTATTATTATGGCTGCATGTTTTCCTGAATTATTATCAAGCAATACAACCCCTCCGACAGTCCAGATGACCAGGAGTATTGCCGTTCATTTTTCGTTATTGTTTTATTTTATTGTTTTAAATTAATTTTGTTTATTATGTTTATAGTACAGCTAGTTTTAAGATTATTATTACTCATATTGCATTACATCTACATCTACTCATTTTGTTATGAATCAGAAATAGAAATAGAATTACGAGATCTCCTAGGAGGCTTCTGGACTCTCCCTGATAGATCAGGGGGAGTCACCCACCTTGGTGCCTGAGCGACTCCGAGGTTGGGCTCTAGTCGAGCGCCATCGACTTCTTTGGTCATTTTGGCGCCATTACGTTCCCTAAAACTAGTCATTCCCACACTCACTCATACATTAAATACATACATACTCCTATACAAACCCAATCACACATGCATATCCTCTGTCCAGAATCCGGGTTGGAGGGTATTCGATATTCCGCCCCGACCCGGTTTAGCAGAGGAGTGGTGGAGCCTTGAAATAATACGCTGCACCGCCGCCCAGCATACTACTATTCTAACATAAACTAAATCTAAACTTTAGCCTATGAAATAAATACCCCACTATATACAATCCATTATCCCAATATCTTTCAAAAACCTAAAAAGTTTTTCCTTAAACTTGCTGTCTATAATCTGGCGGTATTCCATTTTGGTCCATATACGGGGCCAAGCTGCGACACCCCTCCAACACGTGCAACACCATGAGTCTATCAACTTGGCATGCTGGGCACCTAGGTCGACTCGCGCTAACCAACAGGTAACCATGAGTGACCGATCCACAGGCGGGTCAGGACAACGCTTTCCCTTTGAGATAAACCCTCCAGGCTCCAGCGGTTGACCGTTGGCTTGACGGACACTAGCGCGTCAGTTGAGTCGGCCCAACGACGCTTCCACTTGTCTAATATCATATTTTTCACTATTCTCTTAGCATCATCAGGCCAAATCGGGGTGGTCTCAACATCATCACTGTGAGGAACGAGAGTACCCGCTTTCGCGGCCAGGTCCTGCTCTCTTGTTCCACTCCATTCTGACGTGTCCTGGAATCCAGGCTAAAACCACCCTTTTCCCGGCACGCACATTGTCCGCATATTTCAATTGGATTTTGCCGACTAGTGGATCCTTTGTAGGGGTCTCTCAGGGCTCTCACTGCGCTGAAGGAGTCAGTGTATATGAGAACAGTTTTGTCCCCCCTGCCCGAATCGCCCCATTGCATGCCAAATCGCAAATAGCTCGGCGATGTACACACTGCACTCTCTAGGGAGTGGGTGGGAGGATCTCTCCTCCCGCGAGTACACTCTGCATGCCACACCCGCCCCGGTCTTAGAGCCATCTGTGAAGATGGTCTTACATCCGGGGAGCTGAGAGGAGAGTTCAAGGAGTGCGGCATGGTGTGTGACTTTGGCATGGCTGCCAGATCCACCCGGACGAGTACAGCAGGAAGGGTCCAGGGCGGTACTGCCTGGTGTCCCAGTGGAAGAACCAGCCCCAGTACCATCCCCTCCCTCTCCAGGGATTCGGCAAAGCGGATCCCTAGAGGTCGCGTCCAGGTGGGCAGCCCAGAATACTTATCCTCGTGAGGTTTGCCCAGCGGATTGCCCGGTTTGGCCAGCATGGATGCCGCTTATCTGTAGGCGAGCTGCTCCCACTTCAGGTCCGGCGGGAGAACACCCACCTCGCAGCAAAGGCTGGCCAATGGGGTGGTCCTGAAGGCACCTGACACGATAATAGAGACGGTCGAGCTTAGTCAGGCGGGACCTCCTTGCTGAACCATATGCCGTACATCCATAGAACATTCTCAAGCACAGCAGCGAGTCGAATATCCTTAATAATATTTCCTTTTCAGCCCCCCAACGAAAGTTCCCCAAGAATCGCAGGAGCTGGATTATCTTTTGGCACTTTCCTTCGATGGTGTCGACGTGAATCTGCCAACGTAACTTCTCGTTGCAGAGGAGATCAAGGAACCTCACGCTCTCGGCGCCCCGGTTCAGTACGCCAACCAAGCAGATCTGGGGAGGAGTGTGCTCCCTCCTCAACCTACAGAAGTGAATGCACACTGTTTTGGTCGCCGAGAACCTAAAGCCAGCCTCTTCTGCCCTGACGGACCACGTCGACTGTCGTCTGCATAACCTCCACAACTTTGTCCAGGTCCTTACCTGAGAGGTAGAAACTCAAATCGTCTACGTATAATTTAACTTTTACCTGGGGAGGTATGCCGTCGGTGATGCCATTTACTGCCACTACAAAGAGCGACACACCTGGGGGATGTGTTCTCTTGAATGTGCACCCTCGAAAGTGCAGACCCCAGCCGTACCCTAAATCTCTGGTTACTAAGGAAGCTCCAGATGAACCGGTAAGTTCCCTCGAAGTCCGAACTCGCAGCATTTCCGGAGAACCGCGTACCTCACCTTGCTTCAGCGGTACATATACTAAAATTGTTATGTATCAATATGTATAATTGATTGTGAATATGTTTATTTTATGTTTATGCTAAATACACGGCTATTATTACTATTATTATTACTAGAGATCATGTATTATATCTATAACCTATAACTATTTTAAAGTTGTTTAATATATCAAAGTAAATTATTTGGATATTGCTGAGTACATTGTAGTTAGTTTTACCAATTGGAATTGTACAATTTAGCACTTAATTGTTAAAAAAATACACCATCACCCCCACAAATATGTACAGTCATTGTATATCTATACTGCTTTTAGGAGATTCACATCCACTGCCAAAGATTGAAAATGAGGTCGAAAGGAAAAAAAATGCTTTAAAAAGGTTAAAACCCAGCAAACAATGTAGACGTTAAATGATAATTATGTTATATATGTTCTGTATAATTTTCAGCCCATGGAAAAAAATAAGTGTACTGTGTCCACAATCCTGTTCACTTCCGAACACACCTTTCATCCGTGTAATCACACTATGCCTTTTTGTCTTGTCGACATGGACGACGCTTCAATTGCTCCTCATACGGCTTAATTTGCCAACAACAGATCTCTTCAAAACGCTTGGATTAGTTCTCATGTCGTACTACGTTGGTGAACTCTTTCAAATGCTGCATTTGCCGAATATTGTCGGTATGTACTTAACAGGAGTGCTGTTTAGAAATGTCAACTGTTTCAGCTCGATTGAAACCGTCCGACCTGGATTCATAATGGCAAGGTTCGTTTTACAATAAACACTTTGTTATCAAAATGCTAATAATATTAATGTTTCAAGGTATGTTGCTGTATCAGTCGTACTCATGAGATCCGGGCTAGGCTTGAATGCAAAAATATGCCAAACGTATCCCTTGTCTGTACTCAAACTCTCTACGCTGCCTGCAGCAGCAGAAGCAGTTGCAATGGCCATTGCTATTAAATTGCTTCTCCCATATAACTACTCTTGGCTTTGGTCGTTTCTTTTTGGGTAAAGTAATATTACTGTTATTAACCATTATTAACTGATTACTAATTTATATAAGCTCTAACCTGCACATGTATGTACATGTATACCCACATGTGCAGAGTTGAGCGTTTCACTTCTCGCAGTCCACCGGCAATTCCAGTTTTTGTAATTTATAATAAATAACCGGCAGGCTTCGAGAATCACCCACCCTGGGTGTTGGCAGTCCTGGATCTGACCTGTCATCCAATCACCGAGGTTGGACTCCAGGTGCTGTCAACAGCTATTTCATTTTAGCACCCAATGGCATCAGTTCCCAACCATCACTTTAAATATTTTAATTTCTTTTTAAGGTTTTCAATCAGTGCAGTCTCTCCTACTCTTACTTCTCAAATTTTGAGTCGTATGAAGAGTAAAAGCTTGTACCACAATGAAAAGCTGACCTCCCTTTACACTACATCCGCCCCAATAGAGGACATATTCTGTATTTCAGCTTTTGCAGTCTTCACGACAACTATCATTCAGACTAGTGGTAAATTTAAACATCTGATAATACGTAGCATTTTTCAGTCAAATGAAACTTTTTTTAACCAAATGAAACTTTTTTTCAACCAAATGAAAGTTCTTTTCAATCAAATGAAACCTTTTTTCAATCAAATGAAACTTTTTTCAACCAAATGAAACTTTTTTCAACCAAATGAAACTTTTTTTCAATCAAATGAATCCTTTTTTTCAATCAAATGAAACTTTTTTTCAATCAAATGAAACCTTTTTTCAATCAAATGAAACCTTTTTTCAATCAAATGAAACCATTTTTCAAGCAAATGAAACCTTTTTTCCAGCAAATGAAACCTAAAACCTAATGATAATAATTATATAGAGGAATAAATGAATGACATTATAGTACTAAAAATAATTTTTATGATGATTGAATATTAATGTTACATTATCGTAAGGCTTAGATACAAAAACGTTTCTTGTGAAGATCCGTATTCATCAAACTTTTCTACATCCACCCTGTTGAAGTTTAATTAAGTAGGATAGAAAAGTGTTTTTGAGCGAGCAACAACTTTCTGTGATAGAAATTACGAATGATGGAGTGGGTGTGAAGTTCAATTCTGTTTAAAAAGATGGTTCCTACTCACAGTAAGTTGTTTCGCAACAATTCGGATTTCGAGCCCTTTAGCTCATCATCAGGTTAAAGGGCGTTTTCGCGTTGGCGGGGGTTTCAGCGGGTTCACTTTTGCAATGTCGAGAGACATGTTTGTAGAAACCCTTCAACCTGATGATGAGCTATAAAGGCCTCAAAATCCGGATTGTTGCGAAACAACTTACTGTGAGTAGGAACCATCTTTTTAAAAAGGATTGAACTCCACCCCACTCCATCATCATAAAAATTATTGTTAGTACTATAATGTCATTTGTTTATTCCTCTACATAATTATTATCATTAGGTTTTACATTTCAGTTGCTTGAAAAATGATTTCATTTGCTTGGAAAAAGGTTTCATTTGCTTGGAAAAAGTTTCATTTGATTGAAAAAAAGTTTCATTTAACTGGAAAATGCTATATTCAAAAAAATTTAATTTGAACATTGTCTACTTTATTAAGTTTGTAATAAAAGTAAAATGACCAACTATTACAACTTAATACATTTTATAACAAACTTAATATTATTGATATTAATTTTTACAATATTTTAGTATTGTTTACATGAAGAATAAACAATTTGTACTTGAAAATGGTGAAGGATTGGTGAAGTGAAACATTGTAAATTCATGAATTCTACTTAAACAGAAGAGCAGAACAGAATTTTATTTACAAATACACACATTATAGATAATATGCAATGGTAAAGTGGAGTTTCTGTCTAGCGACACTTACCTCCAGCTAGTTAGAATATAACAAAAGTTTTATTATTTACATTATTTTTTCTATCGAGGGAAAAAGAATATTAGATTAAAAACCTCAGCTTTAAATTCTATTTAAAAATACATTCAACTATTAAAGCCTACAGAAGAAAAATCAAACCATCCATAAAAAGAAACACAGACAACAAAAGCTTAATATGAATAAAATATTATAATAATTTTTAGGTGGTATCCCTGAAAGATTCGGACTGGGCTTACTGCATCTATTACTCGGCCTTACTGCTGGTGCAAGCTGGGGGGCACTAAGCGCTTATCTTCCCCATAAAGATGATGTAATTCAAGAATAATAACCTGAGGTAACATTTTACTAATATATTTTTTGTTTTTAGGAACATTGTACTTTAAAGAGAAGTTTGATGATATTTCTTGGGAGTGCCACCATATACTTTGGAGCTAAATATATTTCCACTCCTGCTGGAGGGCCGCTTGGTAGCTTCATTACTGGTGCAACTGCTGCTGCTTGCTTTAAATTTCAAGGATGGCAACAAGTGGTACATTGTTTTGTGTATATACTTACTACTTTATCAATAAAAAAAAAATTACCTCTAGAATCCTGTTTCAACTGTGATATCAAATTTATGGTCATGGTTCATGGAACCCATGCTCTTCGCTTTAGTGGGAATAGAAATCGATCTATCAGTGGTTGAGTTGTATGATGTGGGACTAAATGTTATTGTGATAATTATTGGTTCAATTGTAAGTTATTTCATTTCAATCATCTTTTCCTACCACTTATTTTTCAATTAATTAATTAATTTATTTTTCAAGGCGAGGTGTATTTTTTGTAGCATCATGCTAATAGGGACTGGTTTTAACTGTAATGAGAAAATATTTTTCATACTGGCCTCCTTTCCAAAAGCGACAGTCGAGGTATTGTTCAGCAATATTTTCAAATGTCATTTATTACATTTTGGACCAATTTTTTGCAGGCTGCATTGGGGCCACAGGCATTCGATCTCTTCTGGAATACGCCTGACCATGATAAATCGCTGAATATACTGAGGACGTCAGTTCTATCTGTGATCGTTGTGACAACCATTTCGACGATAGCTTTGAAACTTTTCAGTTACAGACTTCTTGTGAAACCTAATCCAGTGGCAGTTGTAAATCTCAAATCTTATGAAAGTCAAATTTAATATAAATTGAACTTACCTTACGTTTTGCTTTCTCTTCCTTTAAACCAGAATATTTCAATGAAACCTTGTTTAATAATTACAATTAATTAAGGTTTTTAGTTGAGATGAAAAAAAGTTAATGGCACGAGGGGGATTCAAACCCACGATCTTCGGCTAGATACGCCACTGCTCTACCACCTGAGCTATCGTGACCTCGATCCAGTCGGACACCAACTTCCCATCTCAACCCCAAGCAGCAGCGTATCTAGCCGAAGATCGTGGGTTCGAATCCCCCTCGTGCCATTAACTTTTTTTCATCTCAACTAAAAACCTTAATTAATTGTAATGATTTAATTGGTCAAGTGGACCACGAAATTAGTGAATCTTGTTTAATAATATTAAACGGATAATGGAATTTAAACCAATAAACAAAAAGTTAGGTGTATTTATTCATTGCTTAATGATAACACTACTTGAGGAAAATCAATACACTCACCAAAACTTATCATAGTATTTGTTACCTATACCAATCAAATTTTTTTTTTTTTTTTTTTTTTTTACACGGGTTCGCAACAGCTGAGGTCATATCAACCTTCAGGGTGCCGGTGTTTTTGAAAAAAAAGCTCATTTGTAAGTATGTCAGGTTCGAATGCAGGGCCGCAGGAATCGAACCCAGGACCTTCACCTTACAGTGATGAGCGCCGTGTCAACACCTAAACCGTTGTGGCCACCGACACCCCTACAAATATTTATTTTTACAAATTTAGACAAAAATACTTTAACAATTTATTGCTCTAATAATTTAATGGAATTAGAATAAACAGGGTTTGAAAAATAACTCTTTTTTTATATGACGTTCAACATGTTTTGTATATTATTATATCCCTATGAAAAAACAATACATATTACCTATCAGGTTTATATTAAAAATAACAAACTTGGCCAGTTATTTCTTGAAATAAAAGGAGAAAACAGCCGCCAATTTTCCAACTTAATTTTTTTACTAAATTACATTTACAAAACTGAATAATACACCGGGAGGACCAAAATAATATTATCTTAGTTTATTTACAAAAAAAAAGTTTTATTCAATTAAATTTCAAAACTCAGGAATAAAGTGGAGAAACAACTAAAATGTAATTAAAATAAACACAGAATGATCATAGATTTGCTTTGTATAAATAATATTTTTAAAAAAGTTCATCGATTATCATAGAAGCGTTAGTTGCGACCGCCCCGTAAGGCCAGGACGAGATGTAGGACAGAGCCACCTTGTACTTTGTAGTCCTGTGCAGTTTTCTCATCGTTCCTGTAAATGGCAGGCGTGGTTATCATGGCTGCAAGAAATACAAATAATCATAACATACATCTGTTTTCCTGAAAAAATCAGCCTCTGTTGTTGGGGCGGGATCCCTTCCTTCTCCTCCACTCTCTCCTTTATTCGTTCAACCTTGTCTGTTGGCTCAATATCAATTTCAATCTGAAATTTTATTGAAGCTAAAGAAAATCTTTATAATGAAACAAAATAAATAAAGTATCTACTTAAGGTAGAATATAATAAGGAATGTATGTTTTTTCTGATCGTCTTGATACGGCAGACCTCTGAGTCTGATTTGCTTTAGAAGATCATTAAGTTCATCCCATTGCTTGTTCTTAACCAGCTAATTCCAATAACCAGTCTGAACAATTTTTTTTTTTTAAATTGTTTTTCTGTAACCGTTTGTTTACCTCAATTCTCCTCTATATGTTTCATTAATCATATAATACACAACCATTAAAAATAATTTTCTTCTTTTTCTTTTCAACATATTTAACATAAGACTGAAACATTTGTCAGATGCAACATCTGACTGGATGTAATCAGACAAAAGGAATCGGCCATACAAACCTGTCAAAAAAGCTTTACAAATTCTGTTTAAATGAAAATATTTAAACATTTCCTTGCCGACAGATTTGAAAAAATCCAATTTCAAGAGATTTTTGTCGAGGGGAAAAAGGCTGAAAATCATTGTAGCCTCTTTGATTTGAACAACATTGATATTTTTGGACTCAACCATTTGGTGTACCAAAATAGTATTAGAAATTTCAGGCAGTCAGAAATATGTTACATTAGACCAAACAACAAAGTTTAACTAATTCTGTTTAATAAAAAAGGTTTTGAGAAATTTTTTTGGTAATTTTAATGTTGATGATGAATCTGTGAATAGCTGAAACCCTCTCAAGCGTGTTTGATTTGGCTGTTGGGAGTTATCCATTTTTGGTCAGAAACTTTTGGGGGACCAACATAGTATTACAAATTTCAGACAGTCCGAAGTATGTGACCTTACAGACCAGACTATAAAGCTTCACATATTGTTTAATTGAATTTTTTTAAGGAAAAACATTTCCTTGTCTTGATGTTATCGCATATTTACAGAATCTCGGGGATTATCAGCTGAAGGCCCCCTAACAAACAATAGGCTTCCTTTGGTTTTTGTTCAATTGGTTATTGGATTTACCTGAACTATTGCATCATTATGCAAATTTACTTTGATTGGATTTGGTTTGGAGACGATTGAAAGCAGACAACAGAATAATTTGTTATTATTATAATAATTAATAATAATAATAAACAGTAAATCTGCGGTTTTGTGACAAACAGCACAAATTTCATTAATCAGTGGCTTGTAATGAGTCCAACCTATTTGATTTAGTCAACATGGACCATTTTTGATCTGATACATTCGGTGGCTCAAAATAGTATTACAACCTACAGACAGTTCGAAGTATGCAACATTACAGCCCAGAATACAAAGCTTTACAGATTAAAGAAAAACAATTCTTAATTATGATGTTAATGATGAATCTGCGGTTTTGTGAGTTTTGCGACAAACAGCACAAATTTCATTAATCGGTGGTTTGTTATGAATCCAAATCACACAATGAACTTCGTTGAGGGGAAAATAGCTTAAACTCATTCTAGCCTATTTGATTTGGTCAACATGAACCATTTTTGACCTGATACATTCGGTGGCCCAACACAGTATTACAACCTACAGACAGTTCGAAGTATGCAACATTGCAGCCAAGAATACAAAGCTTTAAAGATTGTTTAATTGAAATTTTTTAAAGAAAAACAATTCATAATCTTGATGTTAATGGTGAATCTACAGTTTTGTGACAAACAGCACAAATTTCATTAACCGGTGGTTTGTTATGAATCCAAATCTCACGACGAACTTTGTCAAAGGGGAAATGGCTGAAACTCATTCGACCCTGGTTGATTTGGTCAACATTGACCACTTTTGGCCAGAAACTCTGCAAAATAAAAAATTTTAATTTGAGCCGAGACAGGTTCTTGAGTTTACTCCTCCAATCTGAGGAGAGCGATGAAATGGTGGAAATGTCGACACACCCATGAGAATAATTACAATCTTAAAGTTTCATTTATTTAAGTGTTAGTCATCTGACGACGGTTTATGTTAAATAACGGTTTTAAACGGGTCAAAACAAAAAATCGCTCACCTCTTTACCAGTCAGGGTCTAGACAGCGCCCATGAAACATAAATCAATTGATTAGAATATTTATGATACTCTTAACCTCACGAAAAACAGCATATTATTCTTACCTTCACTTTGATCAACATTTTAAATGCACCTTTAATTTGAAGAAAATTCCTAAAATAAATAGAAATCCTGTTAAAAACTGCCGACAAGGAGGTTTCTTAACAGATTCCCCCTTCGGACCCAGACAAGTATTCGTCCTCGATATAACCTCGACAGATGAAACTCAATCGATTTTCACCTCTCTGATTCAAGCCGATTTCAAAAATATTGGCATTTGAAAAAAAAATCTGAGTGATTTTCGAACAAAAATTCAATTGAAAAACAAAAGGGCGTAAAAAGACAACAATCTATCGTTTGGATATCAATGATGCACTTGATGATTTTGGCGGGCAAGCTTGTTAAAGATCGACGTCTATTTTGCTACAAAATTTTAGCCTAGCTTGTAAACTTACTTAACTTGTTATAAATAATGCAAAATATCTACGTTCAATTAATGTTTTATACATTTTATTTATAATGCTTTTAAACGTATAGATCTTTGTGATACTTTGCTCTTGATTACATCCTCATCTGCCATGAACAATACCTACTAGTCACTTGTATGTAAGTAAGCATTTTTTTTTATAATTTACAAAACTAAACATTTTCTACAATTTTTTTAAAAATACTCTCTCTTTCTCACTCTCTCACACACCATAAATCAATAATTAATTTTACAATGATATACAATAAATATACATTGGCATGGGCGATCGAAGTCACGGTAGCTCAAGTGGTTACAGCAGCAGCGTATTGAGCTGAATACGTCGCTTTGAATCCTGGCTGTGATACAAATTTTTCATTTAAATTTTTGTTGTTGTATGATTGAGTAAATAAATATTGTGTCTGATATCTCCTCTCTTGAGCCTCGTAAAGAGGCCTTAAACTGGGTTTCCACTGCACAAAAAAAAATCACTCGTGCACCTAAAGCATGAGAATTACTCGCAAAACACCATCTCGGGTTAACTTATGCACGGGTCCTATTGCAATTGTATGCCACCCGCTTTCAGGAAATCAATGGTGTATAACAAGTAAAGCAGTGGACCTTGCATGCTCTCTTGGGGTACTCACACATTTATTTTTAGTTCTGAATTGATAATCTTCCTTTTTCACCCTTAAATATCTTAATTAGGTAGTGGATCTACCTACTTTGGTAGAATCCCTTTTAGTTTACTGATAAGTCCTTCTTGCTAGACCTAGTCAAAAGGCTGTAAAACAAGGAAGGAAGCAGGAAAAAATAGTTTTAGACTTTTTTTTTACTATGGATTTTATTATTTTTAGTAATGACATCGAAAAGGTTAGAGATTGTCGGTAGTAGTGATAAAGGTTTAAATTACAGCAATATTCCTGGTTTTTATATCATGTGACTTCTGCAAATTTTCAGATTCTGAGAACATATTTTGGCCTGATTGCAGCATTAAATATGTATGTTAGTTTAACTATCCCTTTTTTATATGATGTTTAAATATTTCTCCAATGATAAGGTCATTTCTTGGAGTCTTTTTAGCAGGCAAGTTTCTTTCAATATTTCTTTGGGCGTACAGATTTATATTTTCTTTCTATGTGGTTGTTACTTCTAAGCTGCCCATTAATATTTTCATTTGGTTTGAAAATTTTGACAAGATTATTGGTCAAAAACTTTTTTTCTACTGTCTCTTGTGCACGTAATGTCCTCTTTTTAATGGATGAATTTGGCAATTGGTCTTTTTGTTTATTTTTTAAAATTTTTATTACCTTCCATTGAGAGTCTATATTCTAGGTAATCTCTGGTCAAGTCTTCCCACAGTTTTTTTTTTAATTTCTTTTAATTTGTTGAACCACATTTTTAAGGAATTTTTGTCCAAAGAGGTGATTAAATAATGTATTGGAGCTTAAGTTCCCCTCTGTGGCACATGAAAGTCCTAATTGAACAAAAAATGTAATAATCTAACGTTAACAATGACTAAATTAATTCATAAAAATACTATTTATATACTAAATTGAACTAAGTTAGGAAGAAACCATAAAATAAAAGTAATGAATAATATTTAATATACAGAGTTTGGTCAGTTAAAATTGTCTTCTATGTACAATAAAATGTGGAAAGTTATTTACTTTCACTCCCCTGTCTTAAAAACAGTTTCCACACTAGTGTTCTATCTACATCTTTGGGCTCTGGAAGTTCCATAGCCTCTTTAAACGTCCTTGATTTTTTAATTATTATATCTTGCTTATCTCTATCGCTGGGGTTAGTTAAGAAACTGGATATTGTTGTATCATTATCAGACCAGTCTGCTGGCGCTGACTCTTCTTTGCTCTGTTTCATAACATCTGATTCCGATTCTATTTCTGTCTCTTCAACTGGCCTGAGGGTGGGTGGAGACTGGTAAAATTGGTCTTTTTGTTTCAAAGGTTTGAATGATATTAGGCTTTTATCTTTTTTAAGTTTTTCTCTGCAAGAGCTTTCTTCTTCTAAAAATTGAGTTATGGTGTCAGGGCATACAACTTGTTTTTCTAAATCGAGTTGTTTCGATAATGATGATAATACTGAATTGGGCGTTAAGTCGTACATTTTTGATGGTAAATCTATTTCCTTATTTTTCACAAAATACACTTGAACCTCTTCTTTAGCATTGATGTTGTTTCTCCAGTTGAATCCTGTATTCTGTCCTTCAGGCATTCCATCTGTTAACGACTCCTCTTCTGGATGTATTTGGGAACTTCTCATCCGACCTATAAAAAAATTAAAAATTAATTTTGATACATTATAAAAATAGATAATTCTAAATAAAATGTAAAGAATGTAATAATTTTCATTCATAGATACTCTTATAGGTTTTGTCTGTTGATATAATAATAATAATAATGCATTATTCTTTTTGGAATTCTTCAAAATATATGAAGTTAACTTTAATCCAGGGGTCTGTAATATAATTGAAAAAATCTATTGCTGGTCACATTGAGTATTTTAACAATTTGCAGTATTAAAATTTAAATTTGTCCAATTATTTTTTGGCCTGAGCTTCCATTGTATTAATTTGCGAGAAATAGCTGACTTTCCAAAAACGATAAATTAAGCTAATATTTTTATATATGGGCACTTTTTTCCAAAACTTCACCTTCTTCATACATGCTGTCCTCTTCTTAAACAGGCTTCATAAATTTTATTAAATGTGCCTTAAGAACTACACATTAAATATGGGGCTTTTATGTATTGCGTAGTTTTATAACTGGAATTAGTTTCATTGTTTAAATTCTTTTCATCCACAATTAATTTTCCAATATATAGTACTTGTAAACTTGGTTTTTCCTACCTAAAAGCACAATTTATATATTACTAGGCACAGAAATTCATGTCTCTCCGCTATTTGGAAACAATGTTTTATTTTATTCCCCCCACTAGCTCTTTGAATTACCCAATAATTGTGTGCCCATAAATTAAAATAATTGTAGTCATCGACTTTTTATTTAGTATTAAATTTTTAATTTTTTGAGCAATTATAAGTTCAATAAAATGAAATTATAGAGAAGTTGTCTGTCTACTAAGGCATGTCAGTTTTGTACAACTTAACAAACATTAGTGTTACAAAAACCGTTTAGGGATTAGCAATTCATTAAAAATTAAAAAGTTTAGTCTTTTTTTGTGTTTTTTGTTTTCATCGTCTAACATGACCTGAACTCACCTTTGTATTGTACTCGACGATATATTGGTTGTTTGTGGAGTGATATGCCATCAGCAATTTTGAATTCATCAGGTATGTCTGTCTGTAAATTTGTTACCGGCTTGCGCACTTTGTACATGTAATGGTTTTGGACGACATACTCAAAATTGCTTCCAACATCTGACTCAGTGTCTGTCGTTTTTGCACAACAGGGGAAACACACCGTAGCCAGGCGTAGAACTGTCTGCATGTTGTTAATGAGGCCGTTTTTGTTTTGTTTTTGTAGACTGGCTGCTTAATAAAATACTGTTGTTTTTTCTTTAAACTAAACTAGAAAGACACACTTATAACATGTAACATATGTTTCAAAAATTCCAACACATGTGTAATACATATATTTTCATTCTGGCTAGAAGGCTCTTCATAAAATATTGCTTTCTTGTTTACTAGTGGGTAAAATTAATTGCCTAATAGTACCAATAGTCTCTTCAGTTTGACAATTTTTGCCCTTTGGTCTCATGGAGAAGGGTTAAGTAGTAATGAGTCTGTTTTTATGATCATCTATGTATTAAGATCAAGATCTTTGTACACATTGTTAAATACATATTATATAATTTACACATTTTCATTAGAGAATATCGCAAAACAATTACACCATACGTATATTGTAATATTGGATTATGAAATTTTTAATCAAAGTAATCGGATTTGAGTTAATACAAATTAAATGTAAAATAAACTAGATACTATTTCAATAGATTTGTTAAACTAAGGAACAGAGATTCATTGATTGTTGAGATACATTCCTGACCCAGTATTGTATTAAATCAAATCAATGCAATACTCCCTAATCTTTATATTAAATGTTTGAATTAGTAAATCATACATTCCCCCCACCCCAAATGGCTCAATTATGATAAATTCATTTTACTAGAATATAACAATTGGTTCTTATGGTTAGCACAATATATTTCGGACAAGCTTAACTGGGAAAAATTTTGAGATTGAGAGAAATTTTTTCTGCGTTAAAGCAACAATTTTTTTTAAATAAATGTTACCTCTTCATTTTAAAATTTGTACTTTTAATTTACATTTTCATAAGAAACGTTGGTAACAATCATTTTATCTTACCAATGTCGCTTACAAATTCTTCATCTAAGGTTTTGGACAAATCCAACAAATAATCAAAATCTGAAGCTCATTTACTTTCCACTATAATGCTTTAAAAAAATAACATTAGAAACAGACATTTATAGCTATTATAATACCTTTCGGACTTACAAAAAAATGCTTTCAACTTTTGTTGACATTGGGGATTAAATTTGTCCAAATACTCTGAAATGAACACCTAAAATATTTCATTATTGACAACAGCATCCAATGAGCCAAATCCATTTTACACATTGATGATAACGACATAAATTTCCAAAGGATCACTCCTACTTCGAGTGTATTAAACATTAAATTATGTAAATATAACATTTAGGAACATTTAATTATAACATAGATAAACATCACCTTAAATAATTACTAGTTCCTTAATATACATTTTTTATTATCGTTAAAATCACATGTTATTTGCATGTGTAACAATTATTTTTTTAATAAGATTAAATAAATTACTTTTTTAAACTACCATATTATTAAATCAACAAAAACCTAACAATTCAATATATCACAGATATTTCCAATTTATTTTCTTTTTATCTAACAGCAGAATTATCCAGGGAAATTGGCTACATATTGATTAAATACGTATTTTGGTATGCTGTTTTACTATCTAAAGCTAAAATTAGTCATGAAATTTTTAAAGTATACACATATTTACAGCCAAATAGATTCAAATACACAGAAAATTAGGTTGACAATGATAGCAAGTCTCTACAAGATAAATTTTCTACTAGCCATAATTAAACTTTAAAAAAAATTGTAAATATAATGTACAAATGTCTGCAAAAATTCTCATTGTTAAAAAAAAAGAGAAAAAAAGAAAATTAAAAATTACAAAAAAAAAAATTTAAATTTTGGTTTTTGTGTGTAAAGATAAATTGTCATTATTTAAACCATGTTTTCCTAAACTACAGGATATTTACAGGGTGAAAGCACCAAAATTACTTGTATTTAAAATTCACCTTGTTTAGGTACAAAATAAATATTTTTGTATAAAGAGGGTTCTAGAAATGTTTTCTAAATATGAAATTTGAATCCACATTGATAAAATTTTAATTGTGGACAAACTGTTCAAGCCACAGCCACATTGATATTCTAACTTGATTTATAAGTAAAACAGCATAACAAAATGTCTTTACTTAAACAATTAAAGTACTCTTATTATTCAATATTATCTCTTACTCAAATAATTAGACCCTATGCTCTAACGTCACCTATTGTAACAGACTAGCACTTTACAAAAGTAATTTAGAAGCATTATTTCTTTCAAAATGTAAAATAATTACACAAACGGTAAATAAAATTTTTCAACATTTGGTTTAAATATGTTAAAGAGTGATACAATTTCAAATTTACTTCCCAATATCAACAATTTTGCCATAACCAGGCCGTTAGTTATATTATTTTTTACATAAGATACATTTATTTAACTACATGATTGAAAATTCGTAATGGACCCACTATCATGATTCCAAGAACCTTCAGTCAATGCTAACACACCTTGAATAGGTGAACACAATGCCGCCTAATATAATACCAGTATCTATTTAATATCCCATATTCGGTGGTACTGGGAAACAAACTTTTTCTTTTCATTTCCTGACTTTCTTTTATGACTTGGAGGGATTTTACTTTGTCTCAAGATGATCTGGGCTAATTAAGCACAAGCTGCCACAATACACTAGTAATCTGTTAGCAAAAATACTTCTCGGTCCCTACTGTCAAGCGATTGTTTATTATATACATTTATTAAATAGTCCTTGCTAATCTCCATAAAATAAGATTTTAATGCAGTACTTTTTTTAAATATATTTGACAGTTTTATATTTAAAAATATAATATATTTAATTAATTGGCCATTTCAATATTGCTTGAAATTAAAAATAAATTTTAACATATAACAATAAATTAAATAATAATGAAGGTTCCTTATGTTGGACCCGTCCCTTGTAATTTTAATTGATATGGTTTTTTTTGTACTTAATGCAAAAGGTTAAACATTAAAAGGATGTAAACAAAAATACTTAAACCGCCAGTTCTGAATGGCTTTTCTTTAAAATAAAATAAAAAATTCTATAAGCTTTACTATAAATACCTAAGATTTATGAATAGAACAAAACATGATTTTTTATGATTAGAAATTATATTTTGGCAGTTTGCGCCTTCAAATGATAGGAGGCTGTATTTGGTTAAGAACAATAGATTTTTTTGAAAAGAGTTAGTGGGAAATCACTGTTTCGAGTTCCTGTGTGGGGTCCCAAAACCGCCAAGCTCTGAATACGTTGAAGGGCCATCATTATAAATCGCACTCGGGCCTTCGTTACTGCATACAGAATCCTCAGGCGTCCTTGAAACTTCCTGTTCTCCTCCGTCACCTGTGTCAGAATTCTGCTGTTTCGCCACCTGTTTCTGTTTCTGCTGCAAAGCCTGTGAAACATAATTCAATATTAATTTCATGTAGATGGGCTGATTTTTCTGTGCTTTTATTATAATGACTTAATTTATAATATTAATTAAGAAATGCCTGTTTAATTTAAAAACATCGTAATATACAAAAATAAATAACGATTAAAATTATGTTCTAATTACCTAAATTTTTTATTTATGTATAAAAAATGTATAAAAAAATTATGATAAAAAATATAATCACAAGCATTTAAAGCAAAGTTACTGTTTTACTAGTATTGGGTGATTATGGAAAGAAATTGTATGGCAAAATGTCGAAACGTGTCTGACAAAAACATTTATGAGATAAATAGACAGACCAGTATGATCAGGAGCGATCAAGCAATTTCATCACCTTACAGACCTCACCTCAATATTTTAGAATTTAAAATGTATTTTAAATAGTGATTTTCTTTAAATTGGCATGCAAGATAGTATGCAGTGCGAGTAATGAAACAATCTGATTTAAATCAAACATTTAACAAATGAAATTGAATCTGTATAAATTGTTATTTTTGAATTATGAATTATTGTTTTAAAAAATTGTCTGTTTGGAATCCTATCTTTTCTGTTAAATAATAAATAAACAATAGGTTATCAACAAGTGTCAAGCAATCATAATCTAATACTAATCAATAACACAATTTATGTTAAAAAAAAGAAGAAAAATAAATGAAAGAAAGAAAGTAATGCTTTTGCCCAAAGGTTGATTACGTAGGATAAATTCCAGTGTTATAAAACATTATCTTGCAGTTTGCATTTAAGGTGATGTGCTACTTATAACACAAAAGAAAAGAAAAAGGAAATCATACATGGTTTTGTTTTTAGAGTGTTAGCTTTAAATGAATTCTCCAGTTGATAGAGGTGTTAACCGATCAGTACATACCTTCTCCCTGCTTCCTTTTTTCTGCAAATGATAACAAAATGATATATTAATAAATGTTTAATTCACAGTGGTATTGATGTATATTTAAACAAAATAGTTAGAGTTGAAAAATAATTAATAATTCGTTATTACCTAGTACCTACTAAATATAAAACAAGAATCATGCACAACTTAAATAAGTTGAAAAAAGGTTTCAAAAATTAACAGTGTGCTAAGTTTCTATGATCAGCATTTTAACTTGATTAAATAATAAATTCAAATTAATGTGTCTTCATGTTGTTAAAGTGTCAGTACAACATTAAAGCCAGATATTAATCGAAGATATATACTAAAACTAGTGATAAATCGTGGAATAATAGAGATTTTCAAGATTCTTGAAGTACAACGTCTGGTTTATTAGAGGAAAAATTATATAAAGCAAGTTGGCTATCTCTTATGCTGGATATATTTCTTTATTAGTTTGGTCTTTACTTGTTTTCGTTATTGTTCGGTAGTTTTGAGAAAAAGGGCAGAAACAAATATTTTAATGAAAATCATTAATAAAAGAACACGGAATCTCGAGACTATAATAAAGGCAATTAAAGAAATATTCTGGATTGGTCATTGTTTAACTTTTTAATTAAATAAATAAACCTAAAGTTGATACATATTTTAAGTTGTTTTGCGGATTTGGTCTGTAATGGTTAGATTTACCTGAAGCGAAAATCTCCTGTGGGCTACTTTTCTACCACCTCTTCTCTTGGATATATGGGGGTTGTTCTGGCATATAGTCTTATTCCTCAATACTTCCAGCTGAGTGTACAGCCTCTTGAGCTCGGCCTAAATTTTCCATACGTATTTTTTTTAAATTAAAGCTATGGGCGATATAATATTTGTTTTACCCTAATTTCCTCCGGGTTCATCTCAGCCAGGTTGACTTCGGCGACGTCTATCTCGCTGTAGATCCCTCCACCGGCCTCCTGCGGTTTGTAAGCATCACTCGGTTCGTGCGTGAGATGATGCCGGGAATCCCTCACAGGTTTCTGATCGTAGCGCATCTTTAGAAAAAAATTATATCGGTTTGTTGGAAGAATTGGAACTCATTTGACGGTTGGTACCTACAAACTCTGTGATTTTGTACAACACCCAGAAAAAGTGATACATTCGCACAATTACGTACCTAATTCACGTGATACACATTATGTTGTAAATATGTTGTAGTAATTTATCCTTGCTGACACACTTTACCTGTGATGAAACGCCATCGCCGGTCATCAGCATTTTATAATATGTATTTGCACATTCGTGAAGAATGATTCGTTTCAACATACAGGAGTGGTTTTACACCGCATAGCATAAGTTTCTTTTATGTCAAACCGCACAACGAACTATATACATTTATAATTATAACTTTCAATTAATTAAGGTTTTTAATTGAGATAAAACAGTCAGTGTCATGAGCGGGATTCGAACCCACGACCTTCGGCTAGATACGCCGCTACTCTATCACTTGAAGTATCGTGACTTCGATCCACTCGGACACTAACTTCCCATCTCAACCCCACCTTGTGAATTTTTCCTCCTTTTTGCCATTTTTCAAGTGTTTTTCGAGGGGATCGAAGTCACGATAGCTCAAGTGGTAGATTAGCGGCGTATCAAGCCGAAAGTAGTGGGTTCGAATACCGCTCGTGACACTGACTTTTTTATCTCAACTAAAAACCTTAATTAATTGAAAGATATTAATTGGTAAAGCGGACCTCGAAAACTAGTGAATTTATAACGATTTAATACTTTTTCAAAACGGTGTTTGTCTTATAATAGTAAAAATGTTTTCTTATATTTCGACGTCAACAGTTTAACATGAATTTTCCTTCTTGAAGGTGGTTAAAACAGTGGTCGTCAGTCAATAATTTTTTTTTCAGACTCAGAGTCTGAAAGACTTAAATATGTACCACACTGGCTCTTTTTTAAAATAAACTGTTATAAAATATTAATGTCTGACGACCACTGTTTTATCCATTGCGTTAACTCACTTGAGGAAGGATTAAAATAAATCCGAAACGTTGTGGATAAAAACTGGTTGTGGTTTTTTTGAGATTACCTATTATCCCACCTTCAAGAAGGAAAAATCATAAGTTGATACTAAAAATATTATTTCTTTCTTTTGTACATTCCTGGGTTTTGGACATATCTTGCGGAATCATTGAAAGTAGATTATTTAAGGTTATGTTATTATGACTAAGTTTTTGGTCTATTTTACTCAAACATTTCATTGGTTTATTGGAGAGCTGAAATTTTGCTCTCAATTTTATCAAACTGTTTATTCACGTATTTAAACTTGCTTTTCCGTTCTGAAGTACATATTATGCTTTGATGAGATGAGCAGACATATACTTAAAATTTCGGAAGGAATTGTACCGAGAATTGAACAGTAGGATCAAAAATGGTCGAACATCTTATTCTCCTTTCAAAGGCATTTTATACATCATTATAATTGCAAACTGTCCACATAATTTTTAATTAGTTTATGAAGTTTTATTTGATTTATTATTGTATTCTAGGTTAGATTACATTATACTATAACTGGTTTAATTTTTTAAAAATTATTTTTTAAACAAATTGGTTTTATTGAGACGTTCAATTTTAGCTGCAGATTAATAGCAATATTTGAAAGGTCATATCTGTTAAGTATATTTGTTTTTGAAGTTTCTATTGCATGAAAATTGTTCCTTCATTTGTGGATACCTGACATGATACGGTTAGGAAAAAGAACCATGTGAAATAATGATGATATTGATTTCTACTCAGATGTCGACGGGGGGGATTTAATCGTGGGGAGAATAGGGAGAATATTTAAGCTGGCAGTTTCTCTTGTTTTTTTTGAAACGCAGGTATTAAGATGATTGAACGGTCGGCATGGCATGGGGATTGTGATCGAATAAGGGATCGAAGGATTTTACGGGATGAGAATAAAACCGACCTTTAATACGAAATTACATACTTGGTTAAAGAAAAAAGAACCAGCTTTTCTTGTAACGTTTTGATGCAATAATATCATGTCAACGAGATTTATACAGAGGAAGTGATTTGAAATCGACAAACAGAAAAAACATAGCAATAAAGTTCAGTCTCAATATTATTAAAGTGATCGTTATTCAGTTCAGAAATAGCTCGAGATAACTGGATATGAATGTTCAAATACATTATATTTAATTTAAAAGACAATTAGGACATATGTGTACTGCCTGAGAATTGATTTTCTTACGTTTCATAAAGGCGCAAAATATAAAATTATTTGTTTACAAATGTAATAAAACTTAATTTAATCATGTGAAAATGGACATTAATCGGGGTATCGACTATTTTCCGAAGAACCTTCGATTGTAGAGTCTATATTTGAAGGTTAGAGCGTTTTGTTGAAGTTTAAGTCTAACAGTCCATTTAGGTTTCAGTCTTTCTACATCTCACCTCCCACAGCGTCCAAAACATTCCTTTAGTCTACAACCAATAAACATCCCATTCGTGGCAGCAATAAAAATATTATATACTTGGATAGTTAAAGCCCGTATTTGGTGCATTAGCAAAAGGACAAACTTTTTTGAAGACTCTACAGGTGTACGGCAAGGTTGCGTTTTAAGTCCTCTGTTGTTAGCCATATTTCAAGACAGGGCTTGTTGATATCCTAAAAATAGATCTAGGGATAGGGCAAAAATTTATATCTAGCAGAAATTTAGGTCTGTAAGCAGAAACAGTCAAGAAACATCAGGAAAAACATAAACCCTCTGGAAACAGGGGATTTGTAGGTTAACCTGTCGAAATAAAAAAAAAAAAAATGGTTTTTTGTAAAGATGTTATGTTTTTTCGGACATATACAAAAAACACAGAGAGAGAAGAAAAAGTGCAGTGCTAAGCAGCTTGAATTGTATATATAACATGGCATCATAGCAAACCCTAGAATCCTTTTGAGATCTTTAATACAGTTAGCAGATCTGTATTTTTTTTTTTTTTTTGCTCCCTTCTTATAGGGCATCTTACATAATACTCTTATAGATTGGGTTAACTGCAATTTTTCTCTGGACAAAACTAAATCGACCTTCAACAAATTGTTAGTTGAGGTTACGATAAGCAATCGTTTCAGGAAGGGGTAGAAATGCGGCTTGTTCTGCTTTTGATGTCCGAAGGAATCAAGCGAGCGTCAAGAAACAGCCGATACTTCAAACCATTTTAACCAATTTATAAATTTAAATCATGGGATTGTATGTGCCAGCCTAGATGATGACTGTTCCTTCCGGTACACTATCACAAATCCCGTTGGTTGTTTAAAATCAGGGGAGATCTTTTAGACTTAAATCATAAGCCGTATGTTAACCTTCTGTGCAATTTCCGAGTGAGAGAAGACACTTTTCACTTTATAGCTGTGTCCCATTTTGACCGAATTTTGCAGCATTTTTGGTAGGTACTATATCATCGGATGTTAATTAATAATTTATATTGTTTTATGAAATTTATTTTGTTTGGTCAACCTCCGGTAAATTTACTGCTGTAAAGTTTATCAAATTATGTTAATTACGTACACATTATGATAATTGTTAATAAATATTATCTGTCGTATTATATATCGACCTGGCAAGTACCCTATATCTTAAAATTCTACTCCACCCTGTACACCCACAGTAAACCATTTTAAACCAATGAGCATCCTCTTATCAAACAAGGAACTGGTAACGTGGTATATGAAATTTTCTTACAGTTGTAAGTAAAAAAAGAAAGAAAAGATGTTGAATTGTGTATGGTGAAGTTTCGGCTATAGGAGAAACAGTGATTATTTTCCGAAGATAGAGCTTTTGGTTGTAACCAAGAGTAAGTTCATGTGCGTTGTAATGTTGCATTGTATATAAGTCATTCATTGCTTTAGGGATAGTTTTGATCGGCGGTCAAGTAATCTGGAGTTAGTAGCGCCTTTTGAAACCAGTGTGCGGGCTCCACGTCTCTTGACCATGTAAAGTCTCAGGTCCACACAGTATGGGAATTTGGTTGAAGTGGAGAGAATACAGGTCACATATTTGTTATTATTTAACATCCTATTTGACTTTTCATACAGTCAAATGTGTAAAATTAAATTATTTTATTACTGCTGATTGAATATAGTTATAACTTATAAGCATGCTCGATGGCAAGGGTCGGCAAATGTTTTTATTTTTATTTTGAGTCAATATTTGATCATATGGCCAAATAATTAATTTTTGTTAGTATTTTAATCTGTTTGGAGATTTTACTTACTTCATCTTAGAAATGACTGTTCACATACATTGTATACTAATCGTGTTTTTTCTTAAATTATTAATGCTATTTTGTCTCAATTTTTAATATAGTTACAAGGAGTCAAAAGTTTTCGTAAATTGTCAATTACACAATATTAACAGAAAACTTATATTATATGACAACATATATAGCATCTATAACATTAATACCAATGTTTTAAATATTTTTGGATCTTATTTTGTTGGTTGATTCTGTTGAGTATCGAATGAACTAATTTTGACCCTAATTTATATTTTGACACTCCCCTCATTCAAGCCAAAAATATTAAATTTACTCTTATTTCAAAAGATATTTTTTTTGGGATATTTTTAGGCGTTTAATTTTTTAAATTAATGAAATATTTTTCTCCCTGCCCTTTCATGATTGTCGCAGTCAACATACGTTTTGTAATTCATTCAGTCCCTGAAGATGACCCGAAAAAAGCTCGAAACGCACCAAAAAAATGAAAAAAATGTATTTTTCTAAAATACTTCATTCCTGACCGCTCCTTACTACTTCAACAAATTATTTAACTACAAGTCGCCAAATAACACACACTAAAAATAAATTTTAATTAACTATTCTTTTACGTGAGTGATACCCGGACAGCCTGGAGGGATTCGAACCCACGAAGCTTGAAGTCTAACTGCAGTCACGACAGCTCAAGTCGTTAGAGCAGCGGCGTATTGAGCCAAAGGAAGTAGGTTCGAATCCCGCTCGTGACACTTCCTTTTTCATCTCAACCAAGACCTTAGATTAAAAAGTATAATTAATTAAAACAATCATCAGGTCAATTATGACTACTAAATACATGTATGGAATAATTAAAAATAATCATAAATCGCAAAAACCTTTGTGTTAACAATTTAAAAAAAATACACTTTTTTTGTCATAACGTTCCTCGTAACTATGTTAAAATGAAGTATTAAGGTAATGAAAAACACTAGGAAACAGTAATAACAGAATTTACGAATACATTTCGACTATAAGCTACTAGCGGCTATATGTACTCCCAAATCTACAGAACTATTTGATTTACTTATTTCCGGTAAAATTGTACAATTATTTTGTATAAATCAGTATTAACTAGTGAGGCTGAATTGAAAACAACGGATTTGGCCCGCGGGTTGTTATTTGCCGATCCCTGCTCTATCTTAAAGTTCAAATGTTAAACAGAAAACTACTTACAATTGGTGCGAAAATTAGTAAAAGGACAACTGTCGACGTGGAATGACATCTGATGAACGCAATTATGTACGCGTGATTCGGATGAAGAGTGCTCCACAAGGAAGCATGAGCTACGTAATAAAACGAACTGATGAGGGCTTCAATCACCACAGCTCCCAAGAGGTACCTAAGTTCAAGGTACTGCACGGTAGCATTTCTCGCAGCCAGGCCGATATGAAGGCCGAATAGTAAAAACACAATCTCTCCTAAAAGAGCAAAGGCAGTTATTTTAACAATCGGCCGTTTAATACCTGGGTCGATCAACTTACCCGCTTGAGTAACGTAATCCCACCAGAGTGGTTTGCAGGTCTGGAAGTACTCACCTCCCTCGGTCACACCTATCGCGACTATGCTAAATCCCTCTTCGACGAAATTGATATTTGTCGCGGTCCACGCGGCCAAGTAGGTAAACATAACAATCACCATACCGAACAAATATTTGAGCAAGTCTTTGTCCCTTACCACCCACCTGTGCGCCTTTCTCGTCCTGAACTCTATCAGGATCCTGGAATACAATCGTTAAAAAAAAATTCTCGGTGTATAAAAATTCGTTTCCATTTACCTGTACAATTTTAAAATTATTGCTCCGTAGCAAATTATAAATCCGAGCTCTCGAATCCACCTGACGATGATGCAAGTTTCCACCGATGCTTCGAAAGATAAAGGAACCATCTGGAATTAGGCATATTAAATTTAGAAAACAAAACCCTAATGATGCATAAGAACAAACTTTATTAAAAAACATACAAAAACAACCATGAGATAGATTACTATTGACAACATGTTTTCCTTGTTTGACAATTGACTGGAAATGACAATATCAGCTATGATACCAATAGAAGAGATATCAGATGAAGCAGATCGAGAATTTTATTCAGTTAGAATTGTTTGAAATAGATGTACATAAACCAATACCTGCATAAATATTTTTTGGATTGTATAGAAGGTATTTGTGTTATGATTTTTCAACTGTAACGTATGTTTTTTAACCCATAGACTTTCATAATTTTGAATGTACTATCGGCAGAACTATTGATATTATGTAATTTATTATTGATGACTTTTATTAATTTTTTAGTTTAAAAAAAGGTTTTAAATCCATCTATGATTTAATTAATTACATGTTGTTTTTGTAGTTAGTTATCATATATTAAATAAATCAGATTGGCAATAATTCTGGCATAAGGACCGAAACGTCGCTCTCATTATTAGGGAAAACGTATACACCTATTAATAAGCAAAAAAGATAAACAGAGTGAAGAGAGAAAGAGTGAATAAGAGAAAAGGGGGGAAGGAGAAAGAAAATGAAGCAGAGAGAGTGTGTGTATGTGCGTGTGCATGTGTGACGGAGAGAGGGAGAGAGAGAGAGAGAGAGAGAGAGAGAGAGAGAGAGAGAGGGAGAGAGAGAGAGTGAGATAGAGAGAGACAGACAAACAGAAAGCCAGACAGACAGACTAACCGAAGACTTATGAAAATATAGCTAAACTAATACAGCTGTTTAACAAGGTGAACGAACATCAAAATAACGTAAAACCATTGTTAAGCTATGAAACAAATTTGACTGGAGGGGAATCTTTGAGTACAGTTAATTATTCATTTTAATAAAAAATAATTTATTACACTTACAGCAGCGTAGAGAAGTAGGATGCCTAAAAGTAGCGTTTCAAGAATTGTCCACATCCCAGCAGCCACTAGCTGTAATTATAAAAATAAATAAGTAAATTTCGTACATAAAGACGTATCGTATTCGTCCAATTACAGTACATTTCGAACACATGTACCCACGGTTATGGAGCTATAAATTGCGATTACCTTGCATTTTCTCCTTTTGAATATGAGAGCCCCTGTAGCAATCGTTCCTATCATCGAGGCAATTTGAGCGCAAATAACGGTCGCTTTGAGATCAAAACGAGGCTCGGCCAGGCAACTTGAATCGTAAGCACAGTTCGGCACACACCTGGAATATATTTACCTTTTTTTATCCTTTCTGAAAATTTTTATCGTCAAATTGAACTCTTATGATTTGGTTTGATATTTCAACTGAATAAAAATTAAAACACGTAATATTACAATTTAGGATTTAAAAAATTCTATATATTTATGTAATTGTTTAGTAATAGAGGCCGATCCTACATGATGATATATTATATTATCTTATACAGCGTGAGCCAATTTTCGAAGCACCATAGGAACAAAATGGGGTTAGAGTTGGTTTTGGTTTTAGAGAAAACCTTCGATCAATGACTATTCAGAGATCGTGAGATGCGGTCTGGTGTAGGTTTAACATTTTCTTTAACGTGCCAACGTTTCGATCTTTATTGAGATCATCTTCAGGGGTCAAAGTGTTGAGAGTGTGCACACACACAAGAATGACACATCAACACGGAAAACAAAAACTTTGAGCTCTGAAGATGATTTCAATGAAAATCGAAACGTTGGCACGATAAAGAAAATGTTTTTTCTAAAACCTACGTCACATCAGACCGCATCTCACGATCTCCGAATAATCATTGACTAACGGTCACTAAACACCACACATTCCTTCGATTAGCATACAAACGCAATTTGCATTATCCTTAGCGTTCGTTCGTCAAAAATATTTGAGGCTGTTACGTAATTGTATCAATTTTGGAAGCTTTTATCCTATGGTGAGTCAAAAATAGATTCACTCTATTCATTTCTTTTCATTCTACATATATTCCATTTCGCCCTGATTTTTTTAGAAATTTTGTTAGAAAGAATATATTTATATATATAGAAGAGAAAAGAAAAAAAACTGGAGGCAACGAGGTACAAGGCTTTTCCACTTATCAATGCCGACCTACTGCTACAAGCAAATAAAATTTTGGAATCAAAACATACACGGTATAGTTTGATCAACCAGGAATGAAAGAATGAGGAATATGAAGTATAGAAAAAGGCTGTAGTTATCCCCGAAGAAGGACAAACTCTGCCCGATAGCAATAGTCATCGGATCAAAACATGTCCTTGTCTTGGTCCGATATAGAGAGCGATTTCGTCTTACGTTTTAAACACTGGAGAGTACTCCCTACGTCCTGTGAAAAAATAGATTTTCTACGTAATTGCTAATGTTAAATGTTTGCGTAAGTGAACATATACATGAACTTTTGTATATTTCTGTTGTGAAAGTATTCTACAGACCCATAATTAGGTTAGTTAACCTTTTCTTTAGGGCGGTACTGAGCACTTATTTGCCCTATGGAATAAAAAAAGTACAAATAAATCCACATTTTTCACTTTACTGGGCCAACCTATTCTCGCTGGTTTACGTTTAAGGTCATTTAAGAGTGGACGATTGATGCATATTTGGCTGATGACTCGCAAATCATTGAGCTAAGTGACTTAGATGTCGAAGCCAAACTTCAACACTAAGCCGGGAGATGGTCCAAGCTTCAATTGATTCCTACATCCATTTATTTTCAAGTACTGTACAAAACAAATATTTTGTAACCAGACAATTTTTAAATATTTTGTAGGTCGAAGTTGTACATTTCGTAGGGTTCGCTATTATTCCTTGGTTGTATTGTGATGTTTTTCTTGTTGTTTTTGTGTGCATTTTTCTGTTCACGTTTTGAATCTATTTCAGCCTTATTTTTTAAGCTTGTTGTATTGAATTCTTTCACCTTGACCTCTGTCATAGTTAGCAGGTATTGTTTCTTTGCATCCATTCCTGTTGTTAATTAGTGATCCGCAAAGTTATAAATAGTTTGACTATTTATACTATTTGTAAACTAGCTATTAGAGTTTTACAGAAAATTTGATGTAATATAATTTATATTGATAAAAAATAGATTTGTCTTTAACATTAGTAAAATAAAATAAAGACTTTCTATTATGAACAGCTACATAATCACAGTTCTGAAACCTTATGTGCCTCTTGAATATGACCAACTCTCAAATTATATAAGACAAGAAGGTAGCCATCTTTTCAACTGATTGATATTGATAAATTAAACTATCCGAGTTTATTAAGCAAGGCTAATTTAATTAACGGATCGAAGTTTTTCGCAATTAGTTTTTTTTTAATGCCGAACGAATATCATGGGTTGATAAAAACTTTCTTCTTGAACAACGTGGCCCTGATGCCGGCAGGAGGCACAGATCGCTGATCGAATATTTCAGGGAAATAAATATTTTTAATCGTATATAGATCTCAGTACCTTGTACCTTGGAACGAATGTATTTATTTGCGTGTTGATCCGGCAATTAGTCTGAGGAATATCGAATATTCTAGGGTAGTGAGATAGAATGTGTGAATGTTATTTGTTTGCGTGAACGGCAGGTTTTATTCCCAATAACCACGAGGAATATCGAGACCTCTGGGGTAGGGTGAATCAATGTGTGAATGTAATTTGTTAGCGTGAATGACAGGGTTTATCTCGAATTATGAATTATCCAAAGAAATTTCGTTTACTCTGAGGTAGTGTCAATGTAATTTATTAGCGTGAATAGAGGGGCATATCCCCAATTACCCCGAGGGATATCGAATACTATGGGGTATTGTGAATGCTAATGTCATGCTTTTATCTAGTTTCTATGCATTTGTTTTATTTTATCGGAAATTGACGATGCTAGCAATAGGATAACCGTTATATCATAACACATTATAACTTGACTGGAGAAAAAATAAGAGAAATTAGTAGGTTTAAAACGCGAGAAAGATAAGAAATGAAATACAAAGCTAGGAAAGAGAGGACTGGCGATCACATTGTAGTTTGCCGGTCCTAAAACTTAAAAAAACCGCTGTTAATAATTACCTACCTATATTAAACAATATTCTAGATAATATTTTTGACCTTTCCTTTATAGTCGAGTCCATACCACACAGAAATATAAAGAAAAAAGAGGAATTATAAGAATATAAACTAAAAATGCTTCAAGAATGAATTTTAATTTAATTCACGGTATTCATGAACGTATTGCGTGTTTTATTTGCATTTTAATTGCTTAGTGAATTATTCAGGTTTCTCCCTTTAAACAATACGGGCCTGTAATTCAAAGATTAAAAGAATATATAGAGAATTTCTAACAAATATATCTCAAATATTCCATGCGCTTAAGTTTTGCAATTATGCAAATTGGTAAAACTTATTGCTTTACAGGAACAACCTAGAGGTTAATTAAACATTCTCCGAGTTACTCGATTCGTTTTCCAGTTTAATTTTCCAAAACCTAGATTGGTGTGGTTCTAAACAAACTAATGTATGGTAAAAGTTATTTAATATTCCTGACGGATTGCACATATGTAAACCAAACACGAATTTATTTGTAACATTCAAACTTTAAGATAGTTTTATAAATACAAAATTTAGATGAAATACATATTAACATTTAGTTTTAATTACTAGATTGATTTGTGACAATAAAACAAAGAATGAAATAGGCCGATGTTATTTGATATGGTTTGGTTTGTATCTAAATACTATCTGAGGGATGGAGGTGGGTGCTGTTTGAAGTCAAGTTCACTTTTGCAGTGGTTGTGCTTTGTAATAAAATAGGCTTGATATTCTGTTTAACAGGAGTTGTGAAATTTTAGTTTCTATACTTTTACAAAGTTCGTATCCCCCTTCTTAAATCTATTCTCAGACAAAAGTGGCCTATCGCCATTTTCTAGTTAAGTAAATTACTTGATTTCGATCAGTGGTCTATGGAACTAATCCTCTCTTTTTATTTTTCATATAGTTTAACTACTTTTGCTTAACCGAAACATTTGGACGAACAATTTTTCCTGAAATTAATGAAAGGAGTAATTTCTCACCTGACCATCAGAAATTGACCTTTTAAAACATACCCCATACGGCATTTCGCTATCTTCAGTGATGAGTCTGTGATACTTGAAATTGAAGATGGCGAAATTCCAAACAGATCCACACAGCAAGTATAGGCAGACCACGATGATCGGTGACGACCAAATTCCAGTTTCATCACCCACCAGGCCATACAGAAAAATCTCAGAATACACCATAGGACCAACTTTTTCTCATACAACTGAAAGAGCTTTGTCATGTTATCAACAAATATCACTTTATAACTCTAAGAGGAGTTATCTATAAATATGACTTTTTTAGTTTATTATCTTTAGCACCTACACTGTCAGGTTAATCAATATTAGGAACTGTATATGGCTAAAACAGGTTCTGACTTATCAGAGACTTTGAAGAGTAGAAGACTAGGTTTTGAAAAATCATAAAAAATAATTATTGAAAATGGAACTGATTGGAAATATAAACCAAAAGAAGTTAAATCTAGAGCTCTTCTATGGTATACGGTCGGCTCAAAGTAGGAAAATGGCATGTGCTAGGCATAACGGGGACTTTGAGCATGGCCCTCTGCCCCACCCCAACCGTTTTTCAAGCTATTATCATTCTTTCAGACAGACAGGCATATCTAAAAAATTTCAAAGCCTAAGATAGGACCTTAACACAAATCTGGAACTACCTTAAACCATAAAAAAAACTTTCTTGCCCTCTTAGCGATAGTGCAGGTGCGCCACAAGGTCGTAAAGAGGGCAGCGTCGTCAGCAAATAGGGCCAACTTTATCATATCACACAAGCAATTAAGAAACAAGTTGATCCCAGCGCAGAACCTTGAGGAACACCAGCTGCTACCTTAATATGGTACCTAAATAGTGGCTTCTAAAGCGTTCGGTCAATTGAATAAGAGCTGCAGTTTTATTAAATACGTTTGAAAGTTGTTATGGATTAATTTGTAAGCAAGCCCATTTTGCCAAACACAATCAAAAGCCTTATTGATGCCCAGTAAAATCGCTCAAGTATGCTTTTTAAGGTTAAAGTCATAGGTGACGTTGTCAATAAGCATACTAAGTTAAATTTGTCAACTGATAAAGGCGGAATTCAAATTGCTCAAGAAAAAGCATTCTAAACTTTATTCCAGTTACTGATACTGTAACAGTAAACTTGACTTTGTTTAATGGGC